GTGTTTTGGGGATGCAGGTGACAAATTTACAAGGGAAAAGGCAGCTCGTGACAACTAATGGAAGTGTTCTAGTGTAGGGAACTATGCCCTAAACCTATGTTTGTTGGTTAAAGGTGCTAATCTATGGTAAAAGGCGATTAATAGTGGGCAGTAAATTGTAAGCAAAGACAGTGTGTGGAATCTAGTTTAGTTTTAAGCCTTTGCCTTTTGCTGCATTCAGTGTTGTATATCATGTCCGTGGCTGGTTCTTTGTGGGTGTTGCTTGCAGAGTATATACACAGTCAAAGCTGCTACCTCAAAAAATAAAAAAGATAGTTATACGTTTGAGGTCTGCCTCAACTTTCAAGTAGCAGTATTGCTAAATGGCTGAACGCAATCCCTTAAAAATGCAAGTTATAGAATGGGTTTTGCGAAGTCCATGGCTGGTGGTGCTATGGGTCACAATGTAATTTACCAGCATTTATGGATTGTAAGGAATGTCACATGTGCTGAAAGCATTGTAGGTTGTGAGGGTTGTTGTAGCACGTTGTCATAAATTTGTGTGGGGTTTATGTTAGTGGACTGCTACAGCATGTTGGCTGTTGAGAATCTTGTAGGCTCCCATGAAGATGAGGAAAACACTAAACGAAGTGGGCTGATTTGTGTCACACCGTAGCTGTAGAAGGAAGTGGGGTTTTTAGGCCATTGGCATTGTAGGCACTGCCAGTTATACTGTGTGAGCATTATTTAAAGCATGACAAAGAGCATTCTGTTAAATATTCTGTAATGGTGGACCTTTAAGTCTAGGCCAAGAATGTTCTTACTCTGGTTTGATGGTTGAACCTCTAAAAAGCCTGGCAGAAATCACTATTGTACAGTGGTACCTCTGGTTAAGAACTTAATTCATTCTGGAGGTCTGTTCTTAACCTGAAACTGTTCTTAACCTGAGGTACCACTTTAGCTAATGGGGCCTTCCCCTGCACCGCCGCTGAGCGATTTTTGTTCTCATCCTGAAGCAAAGTTCTTAACCCGAGGTACTATTTCTGGGTTAGCGGAGTCTGTAACTTGAAGTGTCTGTAACCTGAAGCATCTGTAACCCAAGGTACCACTGTAGTTGTTTCTGAATTGTATTTTAAAATAAAACAAACACCATATGCCATCTTAGTTTTGAAAGAAACTGAAACTCCACTTTGGAATTGGGCCTCAGGTTGAGATCCCCAGGGGTCATGTAGTTACTCAAACTAGCAAGCTTAGAACAGAGACTTAGAACCTGTGCACCGTCAATGATTTGCTCTCATCACCCTTGATCACTGTCCATCAGCTGAGACTGATGAGAGCTGGAATCCAACACTTGGAGAGCCACAGATTCCCTAACCCTGCCTTGGCTTACATGATCTGCTGAGAGGAGGAAATCTGTGTTCTGTTTTTCCTCTTTTCATGTTTTTGAAGGAACACATAGTGTTCCTTTCTTGAGGTGAGAAGCATGTTTCCTTTTCCTAAAGTGGCACATGAGCTGCAGTGCAAGCTAAGCAATTTTAAGTCTTGGACGTAATGATCCTGGCATTCAAAGAGAACAGGGTGGGCTTGGGGAATGTATATTGTTTTACTTTAAAATATGGTAAACCCAGCCCTCCTGTTTCTTTCTGATGAATGAAACCCTGGGCTTTGGTCCCAAAGTCCTGTCATTATGGAACTACTGTATGTGAGTTAAGTGCTGATATTGTATATGATCAAGGGCTTGGTACCCACATTAGCCCACAAAACCAGGATATTGACAAATGGCAAATCCACACTCATGGGTAGTCAGATGCAAAGGAAGAATGGGGCTTTCAACTAGGAAATCAACAAATCTTCCCACATCAGCTTGTAATTTCTTTTTTAAATAACTCCATGTGAAAATTCATCAGCATATGATGTCCAAAGGTTCTCTAATATATTTGAGTACATTTTGTGTAATATACACATTTTTGCAAAGCAATTTGCCCTAATATAATGCATTTTGGGATATGTTATATTCTGGAATTTTTATATATGCATTATTAATGGACATTTTACCGTGACATAGTGCATTTTTTTGTACACGTTACATGGCTTGAGGAATGCATTTGAGGAAGTGCAACTTCTGAAGGACAGCTGTGTTTCGGTTCTCATGTGGCTTTGGAAAGTGTGAATTAGGTAGAATTGCCTTGTTATGTAAAATAAGTACAGGTAACTCACAGCTTATGTGTGTTTAACATGTGTGATTTCAACTTTACGCGGTTGAAGGCCAGCTGGTTGAAATCAAACAAATTAAATGCATGGGAGGCAGAGAGCTTAAATGTTCTTTTTGCACAGGGTTTTCCTGATGCGGAAAGGGCTTTTAAGCTCTCAGACTTGCTTACCAAGCTGGGGGGGGTGTTGGTCCATTTAGCATGCAGGCTCTGGAACATAAAATTGTGTGTGGGCGGTTCCAAGGGGGTGGTTTGTGTATATGATTTTTGCATATATGTGCCATCCCTGGAATGTACCCCCACGCAAGACGTGACTGCCTTGTACTTTCTTTCTTTTCCCTACTTTTAACCTTTAACTCTTGTATAGAACAGGTAATTTGTGGTGGGGCAGTTTTTCAGTCAGAAGCCTGGAGAGAGCAGCACATACCCAAATCCCATCTTCCACCCAGTTCTTACAAGGCAGAGAAGCCCACTCATTCATCCAACTGGTCTTATCTACCCCTCGGTGCTCTTCCTTCATCTCGTCTGCAGTGGCCGAAGAGAGAATGCGGACAATATTGTTAGTAGGCCATATTAAGAAACTTATGTTGTTTAATCTGATCGCTTTCTACAGTGCTAAGATGTGTAGGTTCTCGATTCTTTTGTTTGCATTGATAGTACTGCAGCATTATTCTTAAATTTTATGAGCCATCACCAAAGCTAATTTACACATTAAGCCAACCAATTTACTTATCAAAAAGTAAAACCTTAAGTCTTGTGCCTCTGCCCCTAGCATTAGAGGAATTGCAATTGCCTATTGCACTTGGCAGAATTTGTGTTGCATTTGAAGTATATATAATTTATTTTCCAGTGTGCCAATAAGAGACAGAAATTAATATGGTGAGAGGCCTGAAAATTGTCCTGAAAAGGACAATTGCTCTGTAGCATGTGGTAGATCCCTCAATCTCACACTTTCATTATTAGTTCTCCCCGCCACCCCATCCCACTTTCTGAATAACATTGGGAACCCAGAACCCTGTTCATTAGCGTTGCAACTTCCCACTGCAAATAACAAGAGATTTCCTCTCCGCTGCCTACTCCCAGGAATTTTGCTCATCGCTTTCCTAGCTCTTCACACAGAAGGACTGCAGCTTGGTCACTGGGGTGTGGGTGGGTGTTCATCTCTGTCGAAGCAATTGAAAGGGACACAATGAGTAATGAGGGATTTTTTCTAAAGGGAGCAGAACTAATAATGACTGGTTACAATGTGCTGTCTTCACTCAAGTTTTTTCCATTTCTGCTTTGGGAAAAAAGAATAAATTTGTATCTGAAGTGCTGTGTTGCTTCATTTTTTTGTTTTGGAAGAATTTCCCCTTTCTTGAGAAAAGCATAAGGTACTTTTTTATGTTCCTTCTTTGCATGTGGTCTGGAAAAAAAATGCTTTTAAAAGATTCCCCCCCCCAAAAAAAAAAAATAGGACCTATACCAACACTTCCATTTGTCCTGTGTTTTCTTCCACTTGTTGCACTGCAGATTAATGAAATGGGACATCACCATTTCAACATTTCCCTCAATGCCTTAGCTACACTAGAAGGGATCGTGGAAAAGTTAAAATGGCAGATTTTAAGCTATATCTAGGAGATGCCATTCAGGGACATGGGTCGCGCTGTGGTCTAAACCACTGAGCCTTGGCCTTGCCGATCAAAAGGTTGGCGGTTCAAATCCCTGCAACGGGGTGAACTCCCGTTGCTTGGTCCCAGCTCCTGCCAAACTAGCAGTTCAAAAGCATGCCAAAAAGTGCAAGTAGATAAATAGGTATCGCTCTGGCGGGAAGGTAAACGGCATTTCCGTGCGCTGCTCTGGTGTCGCTGTTCTGTTGTGCCAGAAGCGGCTTAGTCATGCTGGCCACATGACCCGGAAAAACTGTCTGTGGAGCAGACAAATGCCGGCTCCCTCAGCCTGTAAAGTGAGATGAGAGCCGCAACTCCAGAGTCATCTGCGACTGGACTTAACTGTCAGGGGTCCCTTTACCCCTTAGGAGATGCCATATACTGTACTTACGGGATGAGGATAAGCAGATAACACTGAGGAGCAGCGTCCTGCAGATGCTGAGGATCCCGTTAACCTTGCATGCATGCATGCATGCATTTTTAAATACCCTCCCTGTCTTCCCTGACCAAATGCAAAACCTGTTTGCCAGGGCAACAGCAAGAATAATCAACACCACCAAGAGCATCAATCCCTTTCTCAAAACACCTTCAGCTTTATTTCTATTCATTGGATGCCTCATAAATGAGTTCTCTAGGCACTGTACAGCTATAGCACAATACAATTTTTTTAAAAATCTGCAAAGAATCTTTGGGGCAGGGGGATGGAAATCACAACCCATCTCTTCCACCTGAAATTTTAGACTTTGCCTTTGGTGGCAAAGAGGAGGTTTGTTTCCCGAGTACACGTGCAGTGGCTGAATGAGGATGGCAAGATGACCCTGTATAGCACTTTTTTGCAGACAGTTCTTCAATTGAGGAAGGAAACTGAAGAGAATACCAGCAGACCCAAGAAGGGGCAAGCATGCTTGTTTTCTTAGGTGTAGATGCAACGGCAGTTCCCTCCTTGAGCCTTTGATTACTGCACCAGACCCTGAGTTGCCTGTTCTCAACAAGATGAGCTGGCCACATCAAAGATCATTAGCTAGCACACTTTCACTCTGACCCTGCTCCCCAATATCACCACAGACCACAGCTTTCCAAACTTTTTATGTTGGTGACACATTTTTTTAAAGAAACGCATCATTTTGCAACAGTAATTCAGTTTTATTAGCAAACTGAAGGTTAAATTACCCCCTTTCCAGCCCTGGGAGGAGCACACTGCAGCCAACACACTAACATGTCGTGACACACAGTTTGGAAAGCTCTGCCCTAGACCTCAGCAACTGATTCTACAACCCACTATTTTTCATACCTGACTCTCTGCCTCCTCACTGGGTTTCCTCTTTCATCAGGTTGCGTTGTCTCAGGGTAGAAATGTTCAGCTCACCCATTGCTCCAGATCCAGTCAACTCCAGCACTTCACTTTTGTCTCCTCTGCAGTGGGTGGCCAATGAAATATCTTCTGTATCTCCATCCTCCTTTCTTGACACCTCACTGTTGCCCCATAGAGATTCTTGCCCCACAATCAGTTCTGCTTCCCTGCCTGTTTTCGCTTCTGGCTCTTCCCCCCTAACTTGCAGACCTGCTTGTTCTGTCTCGGAATCCTCCCCTCTCTTTCCCATCTCCAGATCATCAGCTTTGAAGCTTATTTCTGCCTTGAACCATTCTTGGTCTACCTCATCTCCTTGTGCATCTTTGCACAGCCTAGATCTGTCACCAACTTCACTTCCTCCCTCCCTACATGCAGCCACCTCTCTGTGGCCACCCCCCTCTTCTCTGGCATGTTCTGATTTAAGGCTTATCACTTCCTTGGCCCTAACATCTAATGTTATTTTCACATAATCACCAGTTGCCACTCTTTTAAAGTCTTCTGGGTCTGCCTCTCCCTCACAATGCTCTGGGCCTGCTTCACAGCAATGTGTCTCCTCTTCTGGAATGGAATGATCATTATCTTCTCTTCTTTTCTCTTCCAATTTTGTTTCTTCTTTAGGTTCCTCCTCCTCTCTAGCAGAATTCTCCTTTCTTGGCCCACCACAAGTTTCCAAGTCAGAACTGACCTTTTCCCTCGGTTCTGTTGACACGCTTGTTTCTGTCTTTGATGCTTCCTGAAAGATTTGGAAGTCATCTTTTTCACTACTTTCCTGAGGGCTCTCTACTATAACCCCATCCTTGGGATCCTCTGCTCCAAAGCCCTTATCACCCTGTACCATTGACAATTCAACAGTTTGGGATTCTCGTTTCCCACAAGTTGCTTCATATCCTTCCGTCTCTCTTGTGAAGTTCTCTGTTCCAATGCCCACTCCAGTCTCACAAGGTCCTTCAATTAACCCTTCCCCTACGCTGCTGTTCACATGGTTTCCTGCAACTCCCCCTAATTCCTTCCCAGAGCTCCCAGGGATGGCTCTTCTTTCTGCATCCTTTTCCTCCAGCACTGGAAAATCCACTTCTCTGTTTTGATCCCCAGCCCCAGAATTAATCTCTTCCACTTTCCCCCTCTGTTCTTCAAGCTTCCACTGCGCAAACTCTAACTGTTCCTTGCTTCCAGAGGTTTCACAGCCTGTCAGGTCATCTCCAGAATGACTCTCCATCATTCCTTTATCTTTATTTCCTATTTCCTCTTCCCTCACTTTCTGAGAGGTGATGTCCTCTTTGTCCATTTCGCCTGTCTTCATTAGGAGTCCATCCTCTTTCTCTGCTAAGTTCCCTTGCTCTGTTTCTTCTGTTGCTTCTGTTGCACCCATCCATCTCCCTTCTTCTCTTCCTCTCTCAGGCCTCAGGGTTTCTTGATTCTTTTCCTCTGTTTGTGGGCCGAGGCTAGAATCTGACAGCTTTTCTGTTTCCTCCATTGCTCTCCCCTCAGTTTCTCCTTTAGGAGCAGGCTGCTGGAAGAGATCTTTGTACTTCTTGCGGTCTTCCACGTGCTTCTTCCTCATCCTCTCCCCCAAGAGCTTCAATTCTTTCCTCACAGCGGCAGTCAGCGATGGATCCAGGTGGGCCACCCTCAAAAAGTCTGTTCGGGCCTCCTTTTCATTCCAGACAGCAGCGTGGGCTTTAGCCCGTTTGAAATACGCCTTGACATTTTCTAGCAAAAAAACAAAGTCAGTTGGTTTGCTAGCTCTCATAAACAAATCTAATAAATTACAGAGTTATCTGTTAAAAGCCTCCGCTCTCAGTATTCTGCTTTCCTGGGCCATGTAAGGATAGTGTGTTTCTTACGTTATCTTCTGAGTAGACCACATGAGACTAAAGTCATTCTACTTGGGTTACACAATGACTGTGTACACCACATACATTTAAAGCGCAGTTCCTCCCACTAAAGAATACTGGGAATTGTTGCTCACCCCTTACAGATCTTATAAGAAAAACTGCTCCCTTTCCCTTATGGGGTATTCCGGAGCCCGTACAGAGCCCTATCGGTAGGAGAAAATAGCAGAGTATATTGAGAAGTAAAGCGGCTAGTAAGCCTGATCATTATTCACGAACCATTGCAACCCACCACGCGCAGGAGGGAGGACAACCCTGAACCAATAGTTCACAAGGCCTTTTGAATTGCCCACCCTGTATCCCAAGACCACCACCCCTAAACACCATACATACATCACAGAAAGCGGAGGTCTACAGCAGAAATCCTGCCTACCTGATAATGGTCATTGATTGTATTACCTGGGCAGCCTGGCCTTTCTTCTGTGATGGTTAATACTTTAGGCCACAGGCTCACCCTATTCATACACAAATGTGCCCTTAAGACAGGATTTGCAAGCAAAAAAACAGTGGGAAGGCTTTCTCTCTTTGCCTCCCTTACTGCAGAGGAATGTTTAAAGTAATTTGAGAGAGTCAAAATGGCTTCAGGATTGCTCTCCCGTACTATTTCAGACACACGGTTCATATATTTAGATATGTGTACATTTATGAATATTCCATATTTGGGACCTTAAAATTATTATAACACAGAGCTAAAATTAACAGCACCCTTAACAATAATTATTTGCAGGGGGGGGTGTGCTTTAAATGTACGGTGTGTACAGCCTAAATCTCTCTCTCTCAGAGGTAACAGTAAATTGTGTAAAATTGCCACATGACGATGGGTTAATAAAACCAAACTCCACTGTTGATGTTTCCTCCTCAGTTATTCACTGAGACACAATGCGGTAGGATCACACATAATGCTAAAGAACTTGTGGTGCTCCAAATGCTGCTGCCCACAACTCCCATCTTCCCTGGCCATTAAATGTGCTGATTGGAGTTGGAATCCAGCACTGGGCTCACATGCTCCCACTCTCCTCCTGCTGCACATTGGGAGAAAGACTTCAGCTGAGTTTACATTCCTTTTCAAAGAATCCAGCTGTATTTGGCCCCTAGGGAGCCTTGTTGCTGTGCTGATCATGTGACACTTGTGATCGTGGGAAGGAAGAGATGGACTTATGGAGGGAGGAGACCCCACCAAAGCATCTTGCCCAACAGCACCCCAAAACCTGGAACCAGTGCTGAACCTTGTGGTTTCACAATCACAATGCATGAATAATTTGGTAAGTAGCGTAGAACACTGTGTTCTCAAAACCCCAACTATAATTAATAATAATGATGATAAATCTAGACCTCAAGACTGCAAAAGCAGGCTGTTGATACAGACAGTGACTATTTTGAACAGGGTTTCTGTTCCCGGCCCCTGCACACATTGGCAGGGCGTGCATAAGTGCACCCCACTCCACCCTTATTCCACCCCCTTCTGCCTTCTTCCAAAAGGACCTGTGTGTCAGTGATTGCATGTCAGCTGGATGCATCTAAACTAGTATCGAATGTTTGCTTTGCTCTTTTTGGAAGCATAAATAACTCAAAGGAACAAACCGTGTGAGCTCACCCAGTCTTAACAAACCGCCCAAGTAATTGCATTGGTCATTGATGTTTTCAGGGTGGCCAATAAAATTGTATGTGATGTGAGATGTGTAGTCTCGGGGCAACAGGAGGAATGCTGGAGCACATCTCTACGCTCATGCAATGTAGGGCCCTGGCACATGCACAAAAGGATAGAGGAGGGCTCTGCAAGTAGCGAGCTGAAGGAACCACTCACCATTGTTCTTCTGCAGGAGGTCGGTTGTGTGCTCCAGCACCTCATAATACTCCCCCAACTCCAGCTGGCACTGACAGTAGTTCAGCACAAGAGGTGTAATGAGATTCTCCAGCTTCATCCAGTCTTCATCCCACGGCTTCTCCTGTGGAGAAACCCAGCAAAGAACAAGATGGTGGGTTTGGAGAAGAGTTGTAGCTTAGTGGTAAAGGCACCTGCTTTGCAGGTTTTGCATGCTGGTCCCAGGTTCCATCACCAGCATCTCCAGGTAAGGTTTGGAATAGTGCACTAAGAGACAGAGACTCCCTGCATTGCAGCCAGTGTTCAGGGTGGGGCACAGCAGCATACACCAGACACATGGAGGCCAACAAGCTCATTCATGGCAAAAGAGAACACCTAGCTAATTAACAAAACGATTTATTTGCATCCACCTCTTTCTCACAGAGAGCTCAGAATAGCTTAAAAATGGATCCCCAGGTGATCTAGACAGTGGCCAGGTGAAATACAGCTTAACATTAGGGGTGGCAAGACAGCAGACATGCTAAGTCCTTCATGGGGAATGAGTGGTCCAAGAATATAGTCCAACACTGGACATTCAAAACCAGGGGTCAGCAAACTTTTTCAGCAGGGGGCCGGTCCACTGTCCCTCAGACCTTGTGGGGGGCCAGACTATATTTTGAAGGGGGGGGACACAATTTCCTATGCCCCACAAATAACCCAGAGATACATTTTAAATAAAAGGACACATTCTACTCGTGTAAAAACACGCTGATTCTCGGACTGTCCGTGGTCCAGATTTAGAAAGCGATTGGGCCGGATCCGGCCCCTGGGCCCTAGTTTGACTACCCATGTTCAAAACCTTCATTTTATGGTCCATATTGTAGGGATGGAAGAACCTTTGGCCCTCCAGGGACTGTTGCACTACAAATTCCACCACCATCTTGCACTGCAAGGCTATTCTGACATAGGCTGATGGGAGTTGGAGCCCAATAACTTCTGCTGCCTTCGTGCCCCAGCTCTCACCAAATTAAGCGGCAGCTGGGTTGCTCCTCAAAATGTCCACACTCAACTCCTCTACCCAGGGGCAGGGAAGGTGAACAGTGCCGTGTGCTACAAAGCTTCCCTCTTTCTGGCAGTGGCAGAAGTAGTAAATCAGGTAGAGCACTGCCTCCTGCACTTCCGCTGCCTGAGGCGGGTTCTTCTCCTTGCTTCATGGCTCTGATTATGCATATTTATACCACCTTTTGATTTTCAAATTAAAAAATCATAGGAACAATTCATATGAGAAGGAAATGCAAAAAAGTTTTTAGAAAAGAACAATGGAAATGAAAAAATATCTAAATAAACCCAGACATTAGAATGGCGGCAAGATCTTGAAAGCCATGTGATACAATCAACAGAACTAAAATTTTGTCTAAAAGGCCTGGGATATTTTGTTGTTGCTGCTGCTGCAAAGGTCTTTACATGTTGCCAAGAAGACAACAAAAAACACAGCAAGCAGACCTCTCTGGAGAGAGCATTTCATAATTGAAGGGGACACCACTGAGAAGACCCTGTCCTGGGCAACTACCCCGCTTGCCTTAGATGGTAACAACAGAAAGTCCTACTCTACAGGCAGTCAAATATGGAGACAGGCAGCCTGTTTATAGCCAACATATTTTAAATCAATTACTTTTTTATTTTATCTCCACCCAACTCTTACCTTGGCCTGGATATTGCGCAAGCAGATGATAGCTTCCTGGTATTTCTCTGCCGCTTCCTTGAATTTCCTGGAAAGGACCAGTCGGTTACCCTCCGTGTGCAGCTTTGGCACAGCCAGCAGCTTCTCCTCGTTGTTCATGGCCCACGTATCCCGTTTGTAGGAAGAGGGATCCTCTACCTAGATAGGATAGAAAACCACAGTTATTACAGGGGAACCCCCACTTACACAGGGGTTCCATACTAGGACACCTGCAAGAGGGGGATTCCCACATTCTGCGCCATCTCCTTTTCGGTGCTGAAAACTGGGAAAGTGCTAGCTAGGCTTTGGGAACGAGGTGAGAAGACTCTAGGATCCTACCAGAGCTTCACACCTCCTCCCCAAAAGCCCAGTGCCTTGCTTACCCAGCTTTAATAATAATAATAATAATAATAATAATAATAATAATAATAATAATAATTTATTTATACCCCACCCTTCCCGGTTCAAAAAACCGGGCTCAGGGTGGCTAACAACAGATTTAAAACACTTAATTGATGCAACAAAAACAGCATAAAATACAGCATAAAACATGAATAACAATAAATTCAGAATTCAAAAATCAATTTAGGAGGAAAATCCATCCAATAAACATTGGATGATCACCAGGGCTAGCTTTGAGATGGCACCCCCATTGGCTCAGCACCCAGTCCATGTGGACAGCCCTAATATCTGCCCCTGGACCTCCCAGTACAAAGATTTCTGGGGGAGCTGCAGCAGAGAAGGTCCGCTTACTAAGTTGCCACCCAGTTCACAGCAGATGGTGGAAGCACCTGGACAAGGGTTTTTGAAAACATATGCTGTGCATAGGCAGGCTGACAATAGGAAAACAGCACATCAGGGATGAGGTAAGTTGAACCCTTTTCTCTGACGAGTCAGTTTTCAAAGTGCAAGGACCTTGGGGTGGGCGAGAGGGTGATTTGGGCAGGAATGCTTCCTCCCTCCAACTGTGGTGGTAGAATCTACAAAAAGCTTTTGCATCTGACACAGCTGGGCACAAACTGGTACTCAGTGGCACTGACTGCCATGTCAGTGGCATGTAGTAGCCAGAATGCTGGATTAGGCCTGGGGAACAGTGGGCTGGGAGGCTCAAATCCCCACACAGCCGTGGTGTTCACAGAGTGTCCATGGCCAGCTGCTGTCTCCCGGGCTACTTCACAGGGGTGTTGTGAGGGTAAAATGGGGGGAGGGTGTGATAAACCAATCAACCTCCTTTGGAGGAAAGGGGAATATAAAGGTCATAAATAATCATCCATTGATGAGATAGATGGTGGCAACGGCACGCTACACAACGGAACTGTAGTTTCCTTCTGATTCTCCCACTCACTTTGAACAGCTCCATAATGAAAATAAGGGGCTGTGGCGTCTGCTGCAGTTCATCCAGGTCTGCATGGCCTGTGGTGTAGTAATCGAACATGTTGCCCATCCCACAGCGATGTTTCTGGCCCTCCAGAGGGTCCTTGCCCTCGGCAATTTTCCTCATGCCCTTGGAGACCAAGGCGTACATTCCCGTGTGCTGAAATTGCAAGAAGGCAACCATAAGACTGGGGCAGAGAGCATACAGGGCCTTGCATGGGAAATGTGGTGTGCTACAATCAGATGTGCAAGAGGGAAGATGGTATTTTTTCCTTAATGTAGGATCTGCATTAAAGGTAAAGGTAAAGGGACCCCTGACGATTAAGTCCAGTCGTGACCGACTCTGGGGTTGCGGCACTCATCTCGCTTTATTGGCCAAGGGAGCTGGTGTACAGCTTCTGGGTCATGTGGCCAGCATGACTAAGCCGCTTCTGGCGAAACCAGAGCAGTGCACGGAAACGCCGTTTACCTTCCCGCCAGAGCGGTACCCTTATCTCTCTCGCCCTGACCTAGCCACTGTGATCCATGCGACGGTCACCTCCAGACTGGATTATTGTAACTCGCTCTACGTGGGGCTGCCCTTGAGACTGACCCAGAAACTCCAGCGGGTGCAGAATGCCGCAGCGAGACTCCTTACGGGGTCCTCGCTGCGAGATCACATTCACCCGGTGCTATACCAGCTGCACTGGCTCCCGGTGGAGTATAGGATCAGGTTTAAGGTGCTGGTTTTAACCTTTAAAGCCCTATACGGCCTAGGACCCTCGTACCTACGGGACCGCCTCTCCTGGTATGCCCCACAGAGAAACCTACGGTCGGCAAATAAAAACATCCTCAAGGTCCCAGGCCTCAGAGAGGTTAGGCTGGCCTCAACTAGAGCCAGGGCCTTCTCGGCTGCGGCTCCAATCTGGTGGAATGCTCTGTCACAAGAGACTAGGGCCCTGCGGGACCTGACATCTTTCCGCAGGGCCTGCAAGACAGAGTTGTTCCACCAGGCCTTTGGTCAGGGCGCAGCCTGACTCCCTCCTCTGGCAACCTGCACAGAATTTTGCCTAATCGGTTGCCATCAATTTGATTTTAATTAATTTTTATAATGAAATATTTTTAGAATGTGTGATTATTCAACTGTTTGATTATTTGATTGTTGTTAGCCGCCCTGAGCCCAGCTTCGGCTGGGGAGGGCGGGATATAAATAAAATTTATTATTATTATTATTATTATTATTATTTATCTACTTGCACTTTGACGCGCTTTCGAACTGCTAGGTTGGCAGGAGCAGGGACCGAGCAACGGGAGCTCACCCCGTCGCGGGGATTCGAACTGCCAACCTTCTGATCGGCAAGTCCTAGGCTCAGTGGTTTAGCCCATAGCGCCACCCATGTCCCTTAGGATCTGCATTATCTTAGCATAAAAAGGCACAACGTAGCCCATCCTGCTCCCAAGTGTCAGGCTAGGTCATTGGCATTCTCTTAGGACACTTCCCGACTATTGCTATTTTGGGACAGGATCAAGTCACTGGCAAATTCAGATTGTGCAACTATAACGGATTGGGGAGTGGGGGAGAGCGGTCTTGCACAACAAGGCCACTCCCCCCCCCAAAAAAAAAGAATTTTTGTGATCAGGAAAGTGAGGGTAAGATGCACTGGGAAGTGCTGGATAACACTCGCTTTGATGCAGCAGCATCTAACCTCCCCACAAAGAAGTCAGAACAAAAGTTCATTAGACAATGTTGGCTATTTAATCTCCATGGAAACAAATCAGGATGGATGTTCGGTATACAGGTGGCCTGGAAATAGCCCATAGTCAACTCACAATAAGAAACAGAAATTTGCCCAAGGCCTGAAGGCGAGAGGCAAGTTAATAGGTATTTGAACCCACAGCCCGCCCCGCCTCCTCGAGTCCAAAACCCTTTGCAATTTCCATCCCTGCTTTACTCCAGAATCTATCGCAAGAGGCACTTGATAAAAGGAAATTGATTGATGAGGCATGTAGTTCAGTGGTAGAGTTCCTGCATTACATGCTGAGGGTAGGGTTAGATTGCAAATTAAGATAATAAAGTAGCTGGTGATGGGAAAGACCATTTTGTTCCCAAGACCCTGGAGATACGTAGCCAGTTAAATGTAGACTGTATTGGGTCAGAGGGACCAATAATTTGGCACGGTATAAGGGAGCTTCCTACGTTCCAGAGACTTTGAAAAGGTGGAGTCTGGGGAACTATTTTAGTGAATCTGGATAGCTAGGTCAAATGATGGGGGGTTGTGAGCATATTTTAGGATAGCCACTGTGGTGTTCTCCAGATGTTGACGGACTACAACTCCCATTTTCCTTGGCCACTGGCCATGCTAGCTGGGGAAGATGGGAGTTGGAGTTCAACAACATCTGAAGGGTACCAGGTGCTTGATAGTCAATTGCAAATAACTTTCTGCTAATTAGGGTAGGCATGAACTTGACAATTTCATGCGTTCAGGGTATGCCTGACACAATTGCACACTCACAATAGCATCACACCAGAACTCTGCCACCTCGCCGATCCGCATGGAAGTTAGAAGGGTCTCCCACACCTCGATTTTGAACATCTTCCCCACAATAATCTCCATGGGGATGCCAGGGCCCCGGCTGTCATCTATCACCGTTCTCTCAAAGTTGTCTTTTAGCGTCTGGAAGTGGAATGTGATCTGGATCAAAGGCAAACTAAAGTTAATAATGGTTAGGACTCTAGTCAGCTCAAATCTAAACCCCTGGAAGTTCAGAACCACCTTTGTTTTGCCTTCCACAGTGTTCTGGGGCAATTATTTATTGCCTCCCCCCATTGAATGGGACTCTGCTCAGTTTCCTCTTCCTATGTGGGAATTTTTGTCCTTTAAAGGTAAAGGACCCCTGACAGTTAAGTCCAGTCACAAACGACTCTGGGGTTGTGGCACTCACCTCGCTTTACTGGCCGAGGGAGCCAACATTTGTCCGCAGAGTTTTTGCAGGTCATGTGGACAGCATGACTATGCTGCTTCTGGTGAAACCAGAGCAGCGCACGGAAACGCCGTTTATCTTCCTGCCAGAGCGGTACATATTTATCTACTTGCACTTTGACGTGCTTTCGAACTGCTAACCAATAGCAAATGAGTGTCATAATTCCAAAAGCACATAACTGAAAGATAGGACAGGAACTTAAATATGTAGGGCTGCTAGTCCTACTGAGAGTAGGTCATTTAATTACAATGGGTCTACTCGGAATAGGGCTAGCACCTGACACAGTGCTTAACCTCCACAGCTCTATAGAAGTTAGGCATATTATACAACTGAAAATGATTCACTGCCTTATTACTGTGTGCTTTACTTCTGTAACCGAAAAACAGCTTTCTAAAGCCAGTAGTCAGAAGAGACAGAAGGCAGAGGAATAAAGAGGAGTGTTCCAGGTCAACCCTTCTGCTGCCCATCTTTTTACCTAATTACCTAAGAATCAATTACCTGCTGAATCAGATCAAAGACCCACCTAGTCCAGCACCCATTTCCAACAGTGGCCAGCAACATGCATCCAGGAAACCCATAAGCAGAACATGAAAGCAATTGCTCTTCCATGCTGCCGACCCCAGCCACTCAAATTCAGGGTATACTGTCTCCAATTTAGCCATAATTGCTAATAACTGCTGAAGAGCTCTAGCTCAGGGGCAGAGCGCATGCTTAGCATGCAAAAGGTCCCTATTTAAGTACCCAGCACCTCCAGCTGGGATTGCAAGTCTCCTGTCCAAAACCTTGGGAGAGCCATTGCAACTCAGTATATCGGCAACCATGACCTAGATGAGACAAGTTGGCATGGTGTAAGACATCTTCCTATGATCCTATTTACACATTTTTAATGGTTTCTATGCTTGCAGCCATTTACCTTGCTCCCATCTTTGAAATCTGGCAACGGACCGTAACCGCCATGTAAAATCTTTTTCTTGACTCCTTCCACGTTAAGTAGATACGTTTCCTCCATGGCAGAGCTGCTAGCGGCTTTCTTTTCCGGAGAACTCTTTAGATTGTTTTACAATGCCTTGCTGCAACAGACCCACTTCTACTCCCAATCTATTTTGATGGTACTACTGTCCAACCGACTCTAGAGAATTGAGCAGAAATTCTTCTCTGTGCAGACCCCTTTGGGAGGCAGAGATATTGTCCCAGTCCTTGTCACCTTCTCCAATGTGCTGGGAAAACAACACACTGAAACGGCCTTCCTGATCCCCTCCTTGCCAGGCCAGGTTAATCCAGGATTTGCCTTCTTAGTAGGTATGAAATTAGATTAGGCTAGTCTAGTAAACAGAGAAATCCCCCAGCATCCTTCTAGAAGATGCTAGCAATTTCCTAGGGCTAGTTGAGACAGTGCGAATGCCCCTCCATAGAAAAATGCTTCCTCTACAAAAGTATTCTGGGCCATAAACCTCCCTCCCAGGGTTAACCAGAGATCAAATGGTGCCCCAGGTAAGGAATGTTTTTGGTACATTTGGGAAACCTTCTTTTTACACTTGTTAGATGCCTTTTAGTTGCAGCCCATGTCATGATTTAATGCATACTTTGCATCAATACCCAAGGGTTGTTTCCATGTTAGTCCCACTTAGCTACCACTGAAATCAATGAAACTTGAAAGTCACAACTTATCTGATTTCAATGCAATCTAAGTACAACCCATGTTGTTGTTGTTTAGTCGTTTAATCGTGTCCGACTCTTCGTGACCCCATGGACCAGAGCACGCCAGGCACTTCTGTCTTCCACTGCCTCCCGCAGTTTGGGCAAAGTACATCCCATACTTATAAGTACAACCCATAAAAAGTACATAAAACATACATTATGTTCACCATGCTGCAAGTGGCAGGGATGACACAGGTTGTTCAGTTGATCCTCTAAGTTGTACCACCCAGAGGACATCCTAACTCAAGGACATTAATTTACTTCAAAACCAGAGTTCAAACTTCCAGTGGGAGGAAGTCAGGTTGATTCAAATGGAATTATACAAAATTAACAGATTGAGATAGCTAGCTTTCAAGTTTAGCAGTAGTTTTCTCATTTGTTTTATATGGCATCTATACAACAGAGGTGGAATGACCTGTGGACCTCCAGATGTGACTGGAATACAATTCCCATTATCTCTGACCACTGACCATACTGGCTGAGGGGAGCTGAGCTGAACATCTGGAGAGTCACATGTTCATTTTGTTTTTAAAAGACACAACCCACACTGAGGTCAAGAGGCATAATATTACACACTCTCTCTTTCTTTAAAATAACAGACAGTGATTAGATTGTGACTACAAATGGAATGATGCAGTGCGAAGTTGTGAAGGGACAGAGCATGAGCAGGAATGGGCAGAATACTTGATGATGAGGATACCCATTACCTTCTGAACCTATTGTGTGTTGAAATTGTTTAGCCACAAGAATTAAAAAGCTATTCCTCTGGAGGGAAAAAGCTGGGATTAGCTTGTGTGTATCCAACCAACTTGGGGAAACTGTCCACATTACAATAAACATACATTTTTATTTGCTGTTATTTTGTAGGTTAACCTCTTACAGACAACACATGCCAGTATATGAAGAATGGGAACAGTGGTGTTTTCCTTCTCACAAGTCGCTTCTGCACTGTGCCCTAATAACTCTCTTCCAGGAAAGAAATAATTTCACACTACTCTTAGGAGCATAAGCTGCTTTTTTAAAATAAAAAATAAAAATGAGAATGTTGCATGCTGGCTCAGCATAAAGTAAAATAATTAAATTATTTTTTTAAATTATATTAAAAAATCATTATTTCTATGCAGCCTGTCTGGCTGGGTTGCCCCAGCCACTCTAGGTAGCTTCTAGCAAATTGTAATAAATTTTAAGGACCAAGACTGTAATTAAGACTTTTCTATCTCCATCAGGAGACCGACCATGTGTGTGTGCTCGAGGGAACCAGTGTCTTCCCCTCAAGTGATGGTACTTTCTGTCCACATGTCTGGTCCATTACCTGCAAAACGCCAGTCCCTTGTGCAAATAAAACATCAAAAACTGACAGGGATCTGCTTCCCAGCCATAGAACCAAATCCATCTAACACTGGTGAATTAAAAAGCCCCCCCCCAAAGGCAGGCAGGCAGGCTCTGGAGCTTTTCGGTTGGCATCACAGCTGTACTGCTTGGTGTGTCAAAGCCGGACTCACTTTTCCATAAGGGCTTCTAGCTGCTCTTGAAGAGAGGCCAGCTGAAGAGAAACAGAATGTAGAGAGACAAAATATGGTTAAGAGCTCTTAAGCCACACTACAAAGCACTTGCGGACAGTTCAGCTACTGGCAAGCATTTCACACTGTATTGTACCAGAGAGCACAGCATAATTTTTCTCAAATGACGAAAAGCTTTTCAAGTTCACAGTTGGGAAAATATGGTTCATTATCACATGGGGGAAAGGCTTTAGCATTGCTTGTGGATTCACAATGCAGCTTGATTAACTGTACTGCCCTTTCCCCATTTGTCAGCCTTACAGACCACCTTACCTGCTGCTTCTCTAGCTCTTCCTGCTGTTTGAATTCATCCAGCACAGCTTGGAGGCGGGTCTGGAAAACAAGATGGGCAGGAAATGTGGCTGTTGCTCCTGTACTTTTCTAACAAAAGAACACAACACATATAGGTTTTCTTTTGCAAAGGGCAGTTTCATGCGCACAGCTGGGTCTTCAGCCTGCACTGACCTCCCACACAGACCAACCACAAAGAAAGGCAACTGTGGCAAAATCGCAGGTTGTGCTGCTGCATAACCCAAGGGTGTGGATTTTCTCAAGCCACGGGTTAAGATGAAAACAGCAAAGGGCTGCATTACTCCCCTTAAAACTTGGTTACCTATTCAGGTTCTTTCTCAAATTATTGTCTAGGAAGTGAGCCCTGATATACTAGGGTTATCTACCTGCTCCCCAAGACGAATCTGCTTTCTATGAGGTCAGTTTGTTGACGATCCTGTGTTCCTTTAGCCATGGATCTCCATGTTGATGGACTACAACGTCTATCATCCCCGACAATTACTTAAGTAGAGATTATGGGAACTGTAGTCAAACAATACCTGGAGACTCAAGGCTGAAGAATGCTGACATTCTACTTCAGTACTGTCTACTACAGGAGTGCGTAAATATCATGCCAGGGGGTCAAATGTCACCCTTCAGGCTGCTCTATTTGGCCTACTGGAATCTCCCCAAGCCACACCCCTAAGGAGCCCTACTTCACAACCTCCCTTGCATGCTACTGTCTAGCTGCAATGCATCCTTGAACTCTGCCACTGCCCCCTAGTTGCTTGCATGGAAGACAGTGATGGACGTATACTGCACAAAAGTAAATCTGACATTTATTGTGCTACTCATCCCCAGAAGGCTGCCCATCTGGGAATGTGACACATGGTGTGAAAAGTTTGCCCATCTCTGGTCTACCCCAACTGGCAGTGGTTCTCCAGAGTCTCAGGCAGAGACTCACCAACTGCAACCTAATTTATTTTTTAACTGGATATTCGGTGAACGAGCCTGGGCCTTCCAAAATCATATACTCTACCACCATAGGGACTATTGTCTCTGCTGAACGAGATGCCTACTAGCTATAAACACCTGCCAAACTCAGCTGAGCTGAGCAGGCTTCTATTAGACTCTCTCTAGAGAAGGGGTGGTGATGCTGAATTCACCTTGAGAGCTAGGTTCTCTACTTTCATGATGAGATCTTCTTGGCGCTTTCTGCGGTCCTGGGTCTCCTGCAACTTGTCTTTCAGGTTGTCGATCTGCTTCTGGATTCCCATGGCTGGAAGACAGAGCAGATAACTTAGCACTTCCAGAAACAAGTCAAACAATCCTCTGCACATTCTGGCACAAGCCGAGTAAGGTCCAGATGACCACCCCATCTACTGTACAGCCTCCCTCCCTGGGGGTCTCAGGCATCATACCTATCTGGTTGGACCCTTCATTTTCTTGCTGTTGCCCATCTGATTCATTCAGCTTGCACTGCAGTCTCCTCGCTAAGTCTTCTTCTGTGTCCATGATGTTCAGGTCATCCCTCTCCTCCTCATCACTGCTGGTACTGCTGACATCCTTAAACATCTCCCGGAGCTCAGCATGTTCTATCGCTTTGAAGCAACAAGGAAAAAGGGAAGAGTATAGTTTACAATATGCACAATAAAAATTATCCTTGAAAAGTGTTGCTAACCTTTTGGTTAGCATGGTAACAAATAGCCTCCTTGACGCTGTTTTAATTTGAAGACCTCCAGCTTCCTTGCCAGGCCAGGTGAAATTCTTCTCTACACCACTGGGTCAGAAAACTGTACCCAAAAGCTTCAGTCTATATATTTTGTACTTAGCCATCCGGATGAAAGCATCTAGAAATGTAAGCATCAGCAAGTTGGAATATGAATACAGGCAACTACATTATACTAGGGTCAGATTATTTGCTCAATTAGCTCAGGACTGTCCACTTTGAAAGGCAGTGTCTCTCTAGGAACTCAAGCAGAAAGGGGTGTTTCTCATCACTTGGTTCCCAATAATTTTAACTGGAGGTTATTATTATTATTTATTGAATTTATATACTGACACGGGTGGTGCTGTGGTCTAAACCACTGAGCCTAGGGCTTGCCGATCGGAAGGTCAGCGGTTCGAATCCCCATGATGGGGTGAGCTCCCATTTCTTGGTCCCAGCTCCTGCCAACCTAGCAGTTCGAAAGCACATCAAAGTGCAAGTAGATAAATATGTACCGCTCTGACAGGAAGGTAAATGGTGTTTCCATGCGCTGCTCTGGTTTCGCCAGAAGCAGCTTAGTCATGCTGGCCACATGACCTAGAAAAACTGTCTGTGGACAAACACCAGCTCCCTCGGCCAGTAAAGCAAGATGAGCGCCACAACCCCAGAGTCGTTCGCAACTGGATTTAACTGTCAGGGGTCCTTTATCTTTACCTACACTCAGGGGTCTCAGGGCAGTTCACAGAATAAAACCAAGATATAAAACCACAAAATACCTATTAAGGTATCAGGGACTGAACCTTCAAACTCTGGCATACAAGAGAAGATGATCTTCAGCTCTTCCTTTAAGTTAGGGAGCTACTGAAGTTTGACAATACCTGCAGTACCATGGCTTGGTTTGTGTCCAGACATCCCAGGAGAAGAAATATCCAAGCTTGTGAGTGAACCATGGTTGTCAGGGTCTTTTGTTTCATCTTCGGCAATGACCTCCCAGCCTCAGAACAGGTACAGAAGAGTCAAGGAAAAACCAGTTCAATAGGGAGGCATCCTCTAGAAAAATGGAATCTGCGCTGGTAAATTGATGCTACAGCAATATTCTTCAGAAGATTAGAAAACACTCTCCAGCTTTCCACTGAAGCACATTAATTGATGTCTACACCTGTTCATTTTTGCACACACTGCTTTCCTGAACAGGTATGGTACAACGCAGTGGTGGCTGGTACCCACTGGAACTAGTGGGGCAGAAGGTAGGGAGACGAACAGTAGGTACAACCAGAGACAAGGATAGGTGGAGCCAGTAATTCTGGTTCTGTTCCCACCCTCCTCCTTGCTGAGTTTTACAAGGGCAATACTGAGACTGAGAAAGAGGAAGCTGACAAGCAATTCCACTTTTCAGACTGGAGGAAAATAGCAAGGCAAGCAGATGTGGCCAGCTGAGGGCAGACTGAGGACAGTTAGCGAGGCAGTGCCCAAGGTGCCCTAATGGACTAGCCTCTGTAAGTGCCATAAATCCCAAGAAAGATGCTGCCAGGATATGTCTGCTGACATTCAGTCAGATGCAAGCAGACTCTTCCACTCTGGGTCTTTGCCATACGCAGAATTCTACTTGATCCATACAAATGCAAAAAAGAACAACAGCCACCACCAGCTGGCCTAACCAGAGCAACATGCAGAAAGTCACAAGTGTGGGGGATGAGAGGAGACACACAATGCATGCGAGGGCAAGCATGCAAGATTGTGGGATACCTCTGCTCCCAAACATACATTCAGCACTTGTGTATTCAGGCAAGGATGGCAAACTGGTCTACATAAAGAGCAAACACTATAAAGAAAGGATACGGACTCCGACAGCTTCAGCATCTGTGCTCAGCAGGCGCTTCACTTCCTTTTCCACATCTGGAGACTCAATGTACTGGGCCAGAGAGGAAGAAAGAAAGAAAAACAATATTACGCACCCACAAGTTGGTTGTGCCTCAGCCCAAAGTGTCATTCCTACTGGATGCCACAGACACACCTGCAACCTTTCTACCTCCATTCTCAAAGGCATTCCTGAGCCATCATGTAAGATTCCTGCTATTATTCCAAGCAAGTCACAACTTCTTCTCCAAAGGCCTTCAAATGGAGATGGGCGGAAAGGAGACTGGTCTACCAGCAGACCAGGGAGGACAATTTATGGCACATCACTTAGTGCTTCCTGATCGCTCAGATTCTCACAAACAATGCTGGATAAGTCAGACCTTGGTCTGTTCCAGCAAGGAACTTCTTACGGTTTTTAGATCTGCATATTCAGGATCATTTGGCACACTTTAGCACATAGCCTTCCCCATCACAGTGGGGCCCCCCACTCTCTCTTGCAACTCCCATCATCCCTGACCATTGGTAACCTGGGCTGGCAAGGATGGGAGTACAAGTTCAAAACATCTGGAGGGCACTGGGTTGGGGGAAGCTGCCTTAAAATATTCTATGCTCTCTTATTTTATACACTGAAAAACATAAATCAGTGAATCATGGGAATTCCACTTGAAAAACAGCAACAACAAAACAGACCACACAAGACTGGTCAATCTGTTCCTGCTGACTGGATTACTACATTTTGTCAGTCAAGGACATGTGATTTCTCTGTGTTTGTTTTTTAAGAAACCAGAATGACCTATAGTGGGATTTTTCCTATAAGAAAGAATGTGCATCTTTTGAAACTGTGGCTACTACTCATGAAGGTTATATATTACCTCCAGTATCAGACACATACCTGCTTCTGAATACCAGTTGCTAGGAATCATAAATGAAAACAAGCTATTGAGCTCAGGTCCTTCTTATGGGTTTAATTAACTATGGCAAGCTGTCACATATACATTCATTGAGAGTTCTAGATGGAGACACAACTGTGCTAGTGACCCTCTGTTGTTGTCTTTCTTGTCAATGTAGCAATGAAATCATGCCAGACTGGTGAACATTTATCAGATCTGGTGGAACTTTTAGCCTGCTTCAGTTTGCACTGTGGTTGGCTTTCTGCCACAGCATGTGTGAGCAACGATTCAAAGCTAACACCAAACAAGGAGATGCAACTCACCTTCTTCTTAGCTGTCTTCCTGAACCGCCTCTTCCTCACATTCTTCAGTGGGAGAGTAACTGGAACATCACAGCAAATTAATTACATGGGGCAAAAGGGAGAGCTGAAGGGCATTGTGACTTACTAAGAGAAAATGGATCTCTCCTGAGCAATGAGCTAGGCAGCAAAGACGAGAACAGCCAATGGCAGCTCCCTAATTTGGAAGAAACCAAATCGATTTGGAAGAAACCAAGAGGGTGAGGGTGAATCTTGGTCGTATTGTATTGGCAAACAATACTCCAACTCCTTGAGGATCAATGGAAGGGACTTTTCTGGAGGTAGAGTGGGAAGTTGGCACAAAGTCGAGTAAGGAAGGTGAAATGAAATATAGTTATTCTACTCACTGCCATGATTCCAGAGGAACTTCTTCTCTCTGTCTTTGTCTTTCTTCTTATTGGCTTTGACATCACTACTTGAAGGAGTTTTAGCATCAGTAGTCGCTGGAGCTGGCTCTTCCTGAGTAGGGTATAGTTCACCATCCACAGTGCACACAAGCATCTAAATCCCCACAAAGAGAGGCAACCGTTATATGCAAGGTCAATGTCAGGGATTCGCACTGCTGGGTACCTGAAGGCTCTAATAACATTCATATTACTATTATGCTGGTAATATTAAACTTTATTATCACACATTTTTGCACATTATTCTTATTTATGGCTACGGATGTAGCCATCTTAAGTTTCAGTATGGTATAGGTTTTGCTTAATATTTGTACATTCCTATTATTTTGGTATTTGAATTCTTGAACTCATGGAGATAAGGGCCCCATCGAGATCATTGTGCCTGAAGGCTGGCCAAAATCTGAAGCCAGCACTTGTTGGATATGAAAGCACTGGTGAGAAGAGGAGACAACCAACCATTTTGCCACCAACAGTATTTGACACAAGCCTCTCTAAGACAGTTCAATTTTCTTGCTTTGGGAGAACAGCCAACTGTAAGGAATTTCTCACAATCAAAATTGGGTGTAGATGTTTTACATCGTGGAACATCCATAAAGAGCTTCTAGCATGGAAATGAGAGTGGGGCAAAATTGAGACTGTGTACAAGACACAGGGAGGACAGAGAAAGTCTGATATCCAGACCATGAGACAATACTTACTTGGCAGATATCTGCTGTCTTATAGAAAGTCTTCTTATCGATTGTTTTTAAACTCTCTGTGATACAAGGCAAGTCCACCAGCTTGGCGGCTAATGGGGCCCGGTCTACTCGCACAATCCCATGGCGGCCATCTGCTGCAGAGAGGAAAGTAGGCTTGCACTTGAAGATTCGTGGTATCTTATTAGCAATTCAAAACACAGTTCTGGCATGTTTAACATGTATGCATGAGCGCTACTTCATAAGAGCCCTGCTGGATCAGACCAAAGGCATATCTAGCTCAGTTTCCTATTTGCCTCAATGGTCACCCTGAGGACGTGAGAGCAATAACCTCCTGCTTGTGTTCCTCATCAACTGGTATTCAGAAGCATACTGCTTCTGATATTGGAGGCAATGTAGCCAACAGAACTAGCAGCCACCAGTAGCCATGAATTTCTCCAATTCCCTTTTAAAGTCATCCTAGCTGCTGGCCATCACGACATCTTGGGGTAGCAAATTACACAGTAACTATAAACAATTAACTACAAATTATGTGAAGAAGTTGTTCCTTTTGTCTGTCCTCTCAACATTTGGCTCCACTGGATGCCAAATTCTATGAGAGAGTGAGAAAAACTTCTCTGTGTCCGCATCATTTTATACAGGCATCCAGCTGTGGAAGCTGGGAGGAGCCTGGGAGTGGTTTCTGTTCAGTCCCACTATGTGAGCTGTGGGGAAAAGGACGTAGTGCTGTGATGGCTGCAACTAGTCCTGGAAATTCCTGAGAAATGTTGGAAATAAAAGCTGTATAGAGACAAACGGGACTCTGTGTGTTGTCTGAAAGCTGAATCAAGTTGGTGACAGTTTTACATCGCTGTGCGAAGCTCTGCTGAACCGTGACGGAGAAGTGCCGGAGTGGAAGCGTGCCGGGCAGCAATAAATCGCTAATTGAGGTCCGTAGATCAATTAGCGGGGGTCACGGCTAACAAAACAGCACAATCCTCACACTAACAAGGGGGTTGCTTCCAGCCCCCTGCACACATAAGTGAAATCGTATAAAGCGTGGCGCACCCTCTAAACTCCCTCTCATACCAAAAATACTGTATAAAAAAATATGCACAACTAGAATTGACATTCTGGGTCAGCTGGAGGCTGCGTGGGAAAGAGGCTGCTGCTCGTGAGCTACCCCACATGTCGGCTGTTAGACAAGGAGGCTAAGCAGCCAGAACAAAGCCCCACTGTGCTTCCGGTCTCTTCGGGGCTTCCTCTGCCTTCACTGGCATCGTCTTCAGGCTCCATAGAGGGTCTCCTCGTGAGCCAGCTCCCTCCTGCCATTTCTGGGTTTGGATTGAATTATTTAATTATTTCCCAGTCACGCATGAGTCGATCACACATAAGTTGGAGGACACCTATACATCTCAATCATGTTTTCCTTTATAACAAAAAATAATAATACTGGCATACTGTGCAGAACTTTGATTACTGCAACATTCAGTGATAACTTGCAAATGTGAATGGGTTATCATTAAAATAATGCTCATGTAACATCAAACACATAAGTCACCTACTGAACAGCCAATCAAATCAAGTGATATTCATATATGTGGAAACCAACATTACAGGTGCGAACGTGGATTAGATATATTATCTTCCTGAAGTATAGATAGGAGAAAAGACCAGTTGTACTACCCCCATTTACAAAAAACTAATTCAACTTTTCCACTGTTTTTAGAGGCATCAGTGGCAGAACAATCCCTCTCCCTCCCCAGCAATTTCATGTAGCCCCACCCAATAGCTTCCTAATGATTGGGCGTTCCAAACTGCAGGACCTGATGAATAGCTTAAGGTAATAAATGTGTAACAACAAAAGTCAAGTGTTCTAGCTGATTAAGTTTTACTCAGACTAGACTCACTGAAATTAATAGGCCAAAGTTAGCCATGTCCATTCATTTCAGTGGGTCTACTCTGAGCAGGACTAGCACTGGATACAACTCCCAAGAAGTAAGAACTCATTGACCTGGTCCTCTTACCATGCAATTCTATGGTGAGCCTGTCCTTCAAGTTGACACTTCCAGACTGGACTGCCCTCCGCACAGTAGAAGCATGTTCCTGAAAAGGTAGAGTTTACAATAGAGTCATACCTCAAGTTGCGTTTGCTTCATGTTGCGTTTTTTCAGGTTACGAATGCGGCAAACCCGGACGTGTTTACTTCCAGGTTCGCCGCTTCACGCATGTGCAGGAGCAATCTGTGCGCTTCACGCATGCGCAGGAGCGCTCTATTGCGTCACATGCAGGCACAGAAGCGGCACTCTAATGGACTTTTCAGGGTGCGAACGGCACCCTGCAACGGATCGGGTCCGTAAGTAGAGGTATTGTCAGCATTTTCATCCCTCCCTTTGCAAGGATCACCAGATCATGTTTGTTTTTCTTTCTGTCTAAAGGAGGGGGAGGAAGCTACTCTTCCAGACTTCCGTCCCTAGCACTATGTGTCTTTTTCTTTGACCTGTCTAGAGACAAGATGGCAGTATGAGAGAGCTGTTTCTCTCGTACATGTTTGTTATGTTCTTTTGTTTGTTTAATTAGAAGAAATATATTAGATATGCAACAAAACCTCCACAGCTTTGCTCCCGTTACTCTGCTGTGTTTCAGGTGCTCACATGAGCAAATGTGAGTCCACTGCACCAGGACCTATTCGTCGGGAATGCTGTGTTGATGTTCCTACGTCCCTGTGATCGGAAGGTCAGAGAAGGTGCTCCCGACACCCAGCCCATGCAGGCACTGAAGACGTGGGCCGAACATGGGTGTACAGAAAGGTCCCACTGTACCAACCCATATTCATGCCTCCAGCAATAGAATCAGGAAGCAAGCACAGAGCACTTTGAGGCTATTTATTGCAAAGGGTCTCTTACCGGAGGCAGTCTCAGTATAAACTGGCTCTCCAATTCATGGGGAGCATCATCTTTGTTCTTGCTCATCTTTTGTTCTTGTGTTTCAGGGAACAAGAAAAGAGAAAGCATGGTTACCTGTTGGCCTAAAAATAGCTTCTCTCAACCTTTGTTATCCAACCTCCTGTGTTGCTAATAGCCTCAAAGTAGCAGTACACCCAAATGCATTCTGCTCAGAAGCACCTTATTTGAAGGAACTAGAGAACTTGCACCACACATGAAAAGCATATTCTGGACAATAAAGCCACAGATGCAACTGGCAGCTTAAGAAATAAAAGGCAAGATGGTAAAAGCGGAAGGGTTTGCCCACATAGCCACTACGGTCTCCATAATTTACTCTGAGCCGCAGTTTCAGTCTTACAACAGGGCCAAACTCAACAGCTTTGAGATAAAGAGCAGAATCAAGCTAGCAAAGCTTCTCTCTTCTTCCCCACCCCATACTCTGGAAAAGTCATTCTTAGCTCTTTCAAATAAGGTGTGATCAGCAGTGTAGAAAATCAGATTTGACAATACGCACAAGATCAAAGGAATGCAGGAATCATACAGTACAGTATAAGATTACTGTTTGAAGCATAAGGAGAATGCAGCCGTTGGGAGTAAAGATCCTGCCATTTATGAAGCACTGGGTGCTGGCTGGGTGGCAAGTAAAAGTGGAGATTCCCTGCCACTGAGCTAGTGACAGTAAAACCTTATATAAAGTTGGCAATGGATGCCACATGTGTAAAAGGTTACAGATTTCACTGTCTCAAAACACAGCAGCTCATCAACATTTTTGCTCCAGTCCGCCCCCTCCATTCCCCTAATCACACTCCAAAGGCTTGCAGTCCTCTTTCGGATAATTTCAGAAAGGCAGGAGTAATATTTGCATTTAGATCCTTCTTCTAGAAAGAACTACAGAGTCAACACCAGAGTATCATAAAAGAAACAAATGCATTACTTGTAGATGCCATCTCTCCTCTTCTTGCTTCACGCAAACGTTTATAAAAACTTGTACCATTCAAAAAAACTAAACATAAATGCAGAAAACAACAGTTAAAAAAAGAAAAGAAAAAATGTCTGTAGATCAAACAATGCCTGCTACTAAAGTGAGATTAAATACATCAAATTGCTGTTTCTCTGTCCCCATGAATGAGATTCTATAATAATAAAAACAACAACAATAATAATAATTCCCTTAATAATAATAATTCCCTTGAACTCTTCCCCTGAACTCTTCCCCATCCCACAAAACCTCTCTCTCTATAGCTGAGGATCAGCTAATCTGCAGGCAATAATTTGTTTACCATTAGCAAGGGTAGCCCAACATGGTTCTTTCCAGGTATTGAAGACTACAACTCCCAGCATCCCTGACCATTGGTTGGTCTAGGTTGGATTAGAATTGAATATGGTGTCATCCAGATGTTATGGACTTCAAATTCCCAGACAGCATGATAATGGGCAAGGGTGATGGAGTTGTTATCTTAAAATATCTGGATGGCACTATGGTTGCCATACTTACCATAGAAGAGTTTGGAGAAGAAGAGTTTGGATTTGATATCCCGCCTTTCACTCCCTTTAAGGAGTCTCAAAGCGGCTAACATTCTCATTTCCCTTCCTCCCCCACAACAAACACTCTGTGAGGTGAGTGGGGCTGAGAGACTTCAAAGAAGTGTGACTGGCCCAAGGTAGTATATTTTCTTTTAATTGTCAAATAATTCTGTGTACATTGCGGCAGCCTTTGGCTATGTGCAATAAAACTGACTGACTGACTGACTAGCCCAAGGTCACCCAGCAGCTGCATGTGGAGGAGCAGAGACCCGGTTCCCCAGATAATGAGACTACCGCTCTTAACCACTACACCATACTGGCAAAAAAGGCAAAAAAGTTCAGAAATCAGATTATCCTCAGCTTTTTTAGTGGTTACCACTATGAAACTTTCATACGTTGACTCCAAAACGAAGCATTTTTTAAGGACCATAGATAGGGCACAACCAGAGAAGTAATGACATGTATGTTGAATAATAGTTAGTATTAGTATTTTGAAAAATAATTGGAACATTCAAAGCACTTAGTATGCAGTATCTTACTGCAACAACTCTGCAAAGTCAGTCATTCTCCTTACACATCAGGTGAGCGAAGGGGCTGAGGCTGATTAAGCATCTGGATTGTGGTTCAATCTCTGAGCCATTACACAATAACTGCTTTTTGTGTGTGGAAAGAATGCTTTGCAAGACTATCCAATGGCTATATCAGAGATGAATTAAATCAGGATAGCTGGAAACCATATTATTTTAAACTGGGGAGGGGAAACAGACTTTACTTGAATGATGACATCATTGAGTACTAGAGGTACAAGACCAAATCCTTGCATTGTGCATGGATCTGGTTGAATAATGTCTTATACAAAGTCAGATGATCAAACCATCTAGATCATTGGTCTTCAACTGGTGGGTTGGGACCCACTAGTGAATTGCTGCGTTTTCCAAGGTGGGTCACAACAGGAGCATTACCACCATGCAAATATATGATAAAAAATAAGAAATGGGTCCCCAGATGCAAATTTGGATTGAAGGTGGGCCCTGGACCTGAAAAGGCTGAAGATCCCTGATCTAGACCAAAGCTGCTACCCTAAGTGTTAGTTTTCCATGCTGATACAGGAAGTGCCAGAGGCTGGACTGGGGACCTTCTCCATACAAAGCATGGAGCTTTCCCCATCAAAGCTGATTTAAAACTGCGCCCAGTTTAAGTGTATTAAAATGTATCATTTAATCACCTTACTTACACATACAACAGGGCATTTTAAATGATACTAAAAGCTACCAACTTGGAATGGCTTTAAGAAAGAATTGGTCCCATTTTGCATGAATTTATCTTATCAGTGGCAACTAGTCACAATGTTTACATTCTTCCTCCACTGTCAGAGCCAATAGGCCTCTAAATACCAACTGCATGAAATCACAAGTGAGGGGAGTGTTGTTGCATTCAGATCCTGATTTCCCCACAGGCATCTACTACTGAGAACAGGATGGAGGATTAGATGGGCTTTTGGTCTGTTGCAGAAAGTCTCTTTTAAGTTCTTCGTTTTATTTTTTTTTAATTAGTACACAAACTCTGCTTCAATTTATATTGTGTGCAACCCGCAAGCAGGACCCAAGCATGAGATCACACCTCCCCTCCTGCAGTTTCCAGCAATTGGCATTCTGAAGCAATACCGCCTCTGGTTTTGGAGATTATCAAGCATTGCCATCATGGCTAGCATCCATGAAGAGTCATGCCCTCCATGAATTTGTCTAATCCTCTTTTAAAGCCATCCAGTTTGGTGGCCATTTCAGCCTCCTGTAGAAGTGAGTACCATGGCTTAACCATGCACTCCACATTCTGAAGAAGAAGAAGAATTTGGATTTGATATCCCGCCTTTCACTCCCTTTAAGGAGTCTCAAAGTGGCTAACACTCTCCTTTCCCTTCCTCCCCCACAACAAACACTCTGTGAGGTGAGTGGGGCTGAGAGACTTCAGAGAAGTGTGACTAGCCCAAGGTCACCCAGCAGCTGCATGTGGAGGAGCGGAGACGCAAACCCGGTTCCCCAGATTACGAGACTCCCACTCTTAACCACTACACCACACTGGTTCTGCTGGGTGGGGGGGGGGAGCTCTCAAATGTGGAGGCAACAGGTGTGGATATTCAAGGAAGAGTTCTGGGTTGGGGAAGAGATAGAAAGGAAGGAGAACTGTTGCAGGGTTGGGGAATCTCTTTCCAATGCTTTCTTGGGGGTGCCATTTAGAGTTGGGGGCATCGATGAAACTAAGGTGGTGCGGCAGAGAATAACTGTGGGTTTGGAGAAAAAGAGCAGCTCTTGGGGGCGGTTCTATCCTACACCTCCTTGGTAGGAGGCTGCCTGGGGCTCGGGGCCACTGCAAAGTGGGGGAAGGAAGAATTCCGAGCTGCAAGAAAGGGAAGGGGGGGCCTGGGTTGTGGGGGCTGCTTTAGTGCTGGGATATCTCTTTCCATATGCTCTTGAAGGTGCTCATTAGGGTTATGGGGGGGTGCGTTGAAGCAGACAGGGGATAGCAGTGGGCCTGGAGAAGAGTAAGGAACGAGTCTTGGGGTGCTGTTTAGGGTGCAGGCTCCCAGACTCTCCGTGTGTCCCTATTTTCAAAGGACAGCCCTCTGACTGTCCTCCCGGGGGGCGCCTCGCCCACCCCACCCCCCATCCTGGTTTGTGGATCTGAGCCCAGAATATCCCATATCATCATTATGGGATAGGGGGCCGCTCCTATTTTCATCGGAGGTGTTGCGAGAGTATGGGGAGCCCTGAAGGTGGTTTTTTTCCCCCTTTGGGGGTGGGAGTGGGGTGAGATAGCGCGGAGAGAGAGAAAGTGGGAAAGTCCCGAGAAATGAAAGGAAGGGTCTAGGGAGAGATCTGGGGCCGGCGGAGGCCTCGGTGAGCTGGGCTTGGGAGCAGCAGTGCTCAGGTGAGGCCTGTGTCCCCCCCCCGGGGGGCGCCTCGCCCACCCCCACTCCCCCAGTCACCAGTCACTCACCGGCAGCCGGCAGCCCAGTGTGCCAAAGGTGGCCAGCCCTGCTCCGCCCCGGAAGCTACGGAAGCGGAACAGGCGGCCACGGGGCGGAGGAGGAGGCGGAGAGAGGAAGGGACGCCGCGGGAGGCCTGCCGGCAGCTGCTCCTGATAGGGAAGAGAGCGACGGCAGCAACAGGTACCGGCGCGCCCCACCCGCCGCCCTTAGACAGGCCTCGACCTCCCCGCTCGCCTCAGGCCTAGGGGGGCCCCTCGCTCTCAGGGGAACCGCGGAAAGCTTCCTTTCAAAAATCCGGATTAATAAATCCGGAGTGGCCTTGGTCCCTTTTAATCTTACTTTACCTGTAATTCCCCCCCCCAAAAAAAAAAAATTAGGGACGGATGTTACTTGGCTGGGGAAACAGAAGGGGAGTGTCTGCTTTTCCGCCCAAAGTAAGCCCCTTTAATGTTTTATGTTACCTTGGTGGTTTGTGGTTGGCGGGGGCGCGCGTGTATCTAAAGTAAAATTTGCCGCCTATTTACTCCGGAGCTTTCAAGGCAGCCTACGAAACAGCTAAGAGTATATGGGTATATGGAGACTTACTGGCATTTTGTATTATTTGTGTTTAATTGCAAATACGCAGGTTGAGTTTGCTGCTCCAGGCAACCTGTTTATTGAACATTCATTCTGGTTGGTTTGTGGAGATGTTGTTTAATGTCCAGTTATTTCCGCCGCCCCCCTCCCAAAGTTTCCAGTGAATTTATATCCCAAAAGTTCCAGGCTTGGGGTTTTTTGTTTTAAGTGGATGCCAAACCAACTTTTAATTGTGCAACTCAAATTTTTTAATATGTGTTTGACGCAACTCCAGATCTCCAGAGAGTCACAGCCAACACCCAACATTCTGCTAGCTTACAAACGCCCAAAAGTTAGCTGAGTCTTGGTCTCAAACACAGACACCTAAGTATTACAACATCACCTCGAAGGGAGAGGGGGATAAATATAGGCCCTTTTTCAGGTACAGTGGTACCTCTGGATGCCAACGGGATCCATTCTGGAGCCCCGTTCGCATCCTGAGTAGAACGTAACACGCGACTGCACGGGTCGCATTTTGCCGTTTCCGCACATTCGCATGACGTCATTTTGAGCGTCTGCACATTTGTGAGTGGCAGAACCCGGAAGTAACGTGTTCCATTACTTCTGGGTCGCTGCGGAGTGCAACCTGAAAATACTTAACATGAAGCTACTTCAACCTGAGTTATGACTGTATTCACTTGCCATTCAAACGACTTATGGAAGATCATTAACAAGTAGTTCCCACATCACCTGTAGTACAAGAAAGGTAAATAGTCCCTATAAGGTTCCATATCCTTCCCGTGACAGGTACGGTCGACAGACAATTTGTGAGAGTGCAAGCTCTCCATGTTTCTTGTATCGTCTGCTTTTGGTTTGAAATACTTTAAGATTTTGGCCTGCTTTTTCCTTGGGGGGCGTTTCTGCAGCTTGTGTAAGAGAAATCCCCAGTTCTTTATAACTCTTTCTTGTGAGTACCATCCCCGGACTAGATTTGGGTTACTTTGTCCCGTCAGTATATTTGAGGGCTTTGTTTGAAAGAAACTCGGAGCGTTGTAATTAGCCTCAAAATAGTTTTAGATAACCTCAAGGAGTTTTGGATGGCTTCAGCGGGATTTCAGAGGGGCTTTAGAAGAGCCTCAAAGGAAGGGATGTTTAAAATGCTGTCTGGCGACTCCTGGAGTCCTTAGCTGGCTGGGATATACAGTGGTACCTCGGGTTACATACGCTTCAGGTTACAGACCTACCGCTAACACAGAAATAGTGCTTCAGGTTAAGAACTTTGCTTCAGGATGAGAACAGAAATCGTGCTCCGGCGGCGTGGCAGCAGCAGGAGGCCCCATTAGCTAAAGTGGTGCTTCAGGTTAAGAACAGTTTCAGGTTAAGTACAGACCTCCGAACGAATACGGTAAGTACTTAACCCGAGGTACCACTGTAAGCTTGTTTTCTGGCAGTGTGTCTTTCCCCCCGTGTTTTTAAAAGCTCCTACTCACTCTGCTGGTGCTCACAGGAGGCTTGCTTCAGGCACCATCTTCTTTCTCCCCCCCCCACCCCCATAAGATTATGATTATACCAGTGTACCCCAATAGTATTTGAGGCCTGGAGGGAAAAAATCCCTTTTTCCTTCTGTCAAAAGTAGCAAGGAGGCTAGTTATGCTTACCCTATTAGTGAACATTGGGCCACTTCACAGAAAAATCACTTCTACTTAAAGAACATTGTGTCCATTGGAAGCATGTAGGTAGAACATGAGTTGCTTGTATGACAGAATGCTTATTTAGTGAACTTTTCATAGGACGTAACCTGCCAGTGTTGCATCACTGTATTTTTGGCTTCCTGCTATTGCAGATTCAACATGGCTGTTCTTCTGGAACAGACATTTACACTCTGATCTTTCTCTCTCAAAACTTGAGGTGATTGAAATGGAGGACTCAGTGGGACGTTACGACTTCTACATTGGACTGGGCCTGGCTCTCAGCTCTAGCCTGTTCATTGGAGGAAGTTTTATCCTAAAGAAGAAGGGACTTCTCAAGCTAAGTAGCAGAGGTGCTGTCAGAGCAGGTAATGATATTGAATAGGAGCTCACAGAGTTACCATGACATCTGTTGTGGATGGGAAAAATCCCAGAAACCAGGCTGTCCGTGCTTCTTAAGAGTTAGAAAAAGTTTTCCAGGCCAGCTTATGTTTTCATTTAAACGTCACCTTTGGTTTCTTTTCTCTCTTCACAGGTCTAGGGGGTCATGCATATCTGAAGGAATGGATGTGGTGGGCAGGGCTACTAACTAGTAAGTACTTCCATGCAAGATTTTACCATCTTCACCTACATTTCAGCAACTTGAATTATTCCCTTTGCCTTCTTACATGACCTCCAATAGCTCCCAATGAGTTCCTTGGTATAAGGAGCTTTATAATAAAGCAGCCTTGCAAATTAAACCACCAGAGTGGCTGGGGCATCTACAGATGGATGGGGTACATCAGCATCATCAGCATCACTATTATTTAAAATCATTACTAGCCTGCCTAATAACCTAGTCATTTGTAGATTACTGACAGGAAGTGGAGGGGATAATGTTGAATTAAGAAGACTTCTCTTGCTGGTCACCTGATTTTCTCACCCACCATGAGGGTAAGAAAGGAAGCTGAAATTTGCTCTTTGTTAACCTTTTTTTTTTTTTTTTTGCCAATGGCAAACTGCTTCTCTTGCAGTGGGAATTGGAGAAGCTGCCAACTTTGCTGCATATGCTTTTGCACCTGCAACACTGGTCACACCTCTAGGAGCGCTAAGTGTTTTAGTCAGGTAAGTACAACATGATCAAATGTTTCCCAATCCCTAAACCCTTTTCTGGAAATAAACATGCCAGTCTCAGGTCCTTTCTCAACACAGTTGTATCTTCCAATAGTGCAGTTTTAGCCTCCTACTTCCTGAACGAGCACCTAAACATCCATGGGAAGATCGGCTGTATCCTTAGCATTTTAGGCTCCACTGTGATGGTCATCCATGCCCCACAGGAGGAAGAGGTCTCCAGCCTGGAGTCAATGGCGGAGAAACTAAAGGATCCAGGTATTAACTGCCCCTCTTCATTTACCTATTGTATGTACGCCAACAGAATACCATTTTGGGTGAGGGGGACTTGACAGAAATTGAGTGCTTTCCTTAATTTCATTGAATGAAAACTCATGTTGATAATCAGTAACCTGTGAGTGAATAATTTTTATAGGACCTATTTTATTCTTTATTCCCCCACCGATGACATTTAGTTGGCTTTGAACCATAACAGTGTCATAAGAATTCTAAAGCACACTGTGCGCTGAAAAACTGTACAAGCAACTGAAGGAGGAAGGTCTTGGTTCTAGTCAAACCCAGTGCAAAAAAATGTATAAGCTGAGGGCTATGTGTCTTATCCTTGGAGCCACTGTCTAAGCTCTGCTGCTTATACTTTTTCCTCTATGTATTTTACTCACCAGATTCTACTAATTGAATCTAGCTTGTGCACTCATTGATCTGAACAAAACTGTCTACATCCTGCAGAAGTAAGCTACACCTAAAAGATTCATATTGTCCTTAACAATTTCTCCTCTCTCCTCCTCCACAGGATTTATAGTGTTTGCTGTGTGCATGCTGGTGAGTTCAGCTCTTCTCATCTTCGTGGCTGGGCCTCGCTATGGACATAGCAACGTCTTAGTGTATGTTTTGATCTGCTCTGCCATTGGTTCACTCTCTGTCTCGTCTGCGAAAGGCTTGGGTATTGCCCTGAAAGAACTGTTTGCTGGGAAGCCTGTCTGGAAGGAACCGTTGAGCTATTTGCTTTTTATTTGCCTTGTGATCTCCATCACCATCCAGATCAACTACCTGAACAAGGCCTTGGATATCTTCAACACATCTGTAGTCACCCCCATCTATTACGTCCTCTTCACCACAGCAGTTATGACTTGCTCTGCCATTCTCTTCAAGGAGTGGCAGCATCTGGTTCTGATGCACATCATTGGCACCATCAGTGGCTTCCTCACCATTGTCCTTGGCATCTTCCTACTGCATTCTTTCAGAGACATCCCCTTCACTGCAGACCTGCTGCCTCTTTTCCTGAAGGATAACCAAACAAATGTGCGAGCCGCTTCTTGGAGAAAGGGGGACAAGCATCAGTCCTGTCTTCACCAGCCCCTTTTGGACTCTGAGGACACCCACAAAGAGGGGACAGAGAAAGCAGAGGAGCAATATGGCCAAAGTTTATGAAAGCTAGCACATTATACATAGCCTTTTGGCTTAAAAAAAAGATATATCCCAATCCATTTTCCATGTTCCAAAGAGCTTCTTAAGACTGCTGCTGTTTTCCACTAGAAAAGTTGAATCAGATTCTAATAAGCAACACTGAACTATTTGAAATGCCTTTTTGTGCGAGTCCTTTCACTGGTAACATACTTGAACCAAATTAGAGACCCAATCAGGTCAAGCTAGTGCTCAGCAAGTGGCAGCCCTAGAGCTAAACTTGCTGTCGCCTGCATTCCTTCCCGTGCATCCAGAAGTGATGTGGAGGACAAGAAAGAAAACCAGAGACAAAAATATGTGCACCTGAGGGGTTTTGGACCAGCCCCAACACAAAAAACGAGTTTCAAAAGTAATGGGTGATGTGGCATTGGTAAGGAGGGTGTGAATTGCTCAGGGGGTGTTGCAGAGTAAGCAGAAGCAAAATACTTCAGTCTTCTAGTCAGAGGTAGGAATGCACAGCAGAATTTCTCTTTCTCTTGTAATCTGCTGAAGGTAACTCAAATCTCGGGGAATGGGAAAAGTAGAAAAATATGCGTATGTGTATGACTAGTATGTGGACAAACAAGTGTGTGCAAGAGAGAGGAGGGTTTCTCCCTGTGTTTTCTTCCTCTGGGTCATTTTAAAGAACACAGATTAAGGGAAGACACATGAGAACACAAGGACAAGCTGGCATGGACAGCAGACCACTTGGGTTATGGAAAAGCTTGGCTCTATCATGTAAAGTGCCCCACTGATAAAACAAGGATATAAGCAATGAGTTCAGCTCTTGAATGAGCTCTACATTGCTGTACTTCAGAATCAGAATGCACAGAAGTTCTGTAAAACGTAACTGTTTTAACTCAGTATGCAAGTCTCTCTTATGAGAATGCAGCTGCTACTCTGTTTACATGCCTGATCTTAATAACAGTGCTCTACCACTTTCTGAATGTAAGGACAGTGCATTTTAAGTGCCTTAAAAATTAACTTCTCTTTAAAGTATTATCGGGGGTTCTACGTCTCTTGGGTACCTTTGCAAACCAGAGAACCTGTTGTAAGACACACACAAGCACATATTCTGTTGGCTACGATAGAATGCTTATTTCTCATTTCAGTGGGGGGAGAGGAGAACAAGAGGGCACTGGTTGTCAGGGAAGCCCAGTGCCACAGGGGCTGTGTTGATGATCACTTAATGTTGATGATGTATTAAGGTTGACAGTTAATTTATTTCAAATAAATGTTACTTTTCTTTGTACAGCCATTAACAGTGTTGCAGAGTTAATAACATTTTTAAAAAAACAACCACCCTAAACTTTCTCTTTTAAAAAAACAAAACTTATTTGAACTTCTTGATAGCTGAATGTTACCAATTTCAGTTCAATTCAACCTTTTAGCCATTTCCAGCCTTCACCCATGGTGGCTTTTCAAGCAAGCAGTTCTCTTGGTGAAAAACTGAGTGAATTTCCAAATCACACTCTGGCCCTTCGCCCATGCTTATAAACCTGAATCATTTGGAGCCATTTGTTTTTAAATCAGTTTTCCTACCCAATACGTTGTTTCTGATAGCTCACTACAATCTTTGATGTAGCTGCTGCACAACAGAAATGGCCCAGATATATTTTAATTCCTTCACACTGTGAGGAGGATCACAGGACCCATAAAGGCAGTCACACAAACAGGCTGCCTACAAGCCTCGAGGTGATATCCAGCATAGTCATGCTCACAAAATAAATCCATCAAAACAGTAGATTTAAGTAAAAGCAGCGATCATTTTAAAAAGTAAAGGGACCCCTGACAATTAGGTCCAGTCGTGACCGACTCTGGAGTTGCGGCGTTCATCTTGCTTTATTGGCCGAGAGAGCCTGCGTACAGCTTCCGGGTCATGTGGCCAGCATGAGTAAGCCACTTCTGGCGAACCAGAGTAGCTCATGGAAACGCCGTTTACCTTCCCGCCAGAATAGTACCTATTTATCTACTTGTACTTTGACCTGCTTTCGAACTGCTAGGTTGGCAGGAGCAGGAACCGAGCAATGGGAGCTCACCCTGTTGAGGGGATTCGAACCGCCGACCTTCTGAGCGGCAAGTCCTAAGCTCTGTGGTTTAATGCAGTGATCATTTTAGGTGTGCCCAATTAAAGTGCAATCACTGACACACAGGTCCTTTGGGACCCAGAGATCAGAACGGGGGGGTAGGGTGTGCTTAGGCACCAATGCGCAAGGGAACCAGGGATGGAACCCCTATGCAAAATGGTCCCCACCTGTAGTTTAAGCCTGTTTATTTCAGTAGGTTTACTTGGAGCATGTCTTAACACTGGATATCCCCTTGGTTTCTAACAGCTGAAGGCAGCAGCTTATGCATTGCCTACTTTCCATTTTCTTTTAAAGATAATGGCGTGCCCCCTTTATCCTTAACAGTTAGTTGAGCCCTGTAGTTCCACTGCAAGTCCTCCCAATCACCCTGGCAAAAGTTACAGCCCTTTCACTCAAATGTTGCCTGGGCTCATAATTTCTATATACGTACCTACAATACTGCAGAATTCTAAGAGTTTGGGGCTGAGAATTCACAAGAACTCTGGCGGTGACCTTTAAGTAAACTACTATGGGTCCCAGGACATGGTCTGCAGCATGTGAGGCTACCGTATTGCAAAAGCTAAGCAGGTCTGGGTCTGACCAGTGCCTGGATGGATGACTATCTGGGAACCCCATGTATGTAGTCTTCAGTTCTACATTAGAAGGCAGGCAGGCTAAAAATGTAAAAATAACAGACCCCTCCATTGTCAAATACAATGGTGAAGAACCAGGAATTGATCTGAAGGTGTCCTCAGTTTTTTGAAGAACAAATATACTGTAACCCCCTTGTAAATGAAGGTTTAAGCCCTATGAAAAATTATAGTTCTTTGAAAAACACTAAGGAATTAATTTCCTTCTACTGATCCTTATGACTCTGTAGATAGTGAAGGATCAACCTCAGACTAGCTGCCTTCTTGGCCTTGATTCTCCCATCTAAATATGAGTAAAGCGATCCATCTTACAGGAATATTATTGGTATGAACAAGATGTGGACTGGAAAGAAATCAGACCAGCTCAAATATATTAGGACAGTAATGGGGGGGGGGGGAATACAGCCAAGAACCAACATCTGCTGCACATCCACACACCATATCTGAAACAGATACAGTATAGGACATCTGAGGACTCCGGCTCTTACCAGCCCTAGCCAGCATTGCCCAGTGATCAAGAACAATTGTAGAAGTTGTAGTCTAACAACAATACCTGGAGAGTCACAGGTTTCCCACCCCTGCAATATTACTTGCAGCTCAGGCATCCGCCAAACCCTTAAAACTTCACCCAATGCAGAAACTGAAGCTTTGATTTCTCAATCTCACTTCTTGGGCAGGACAACAAACCAGTGTTTGGAAGACTCAAGAGGTTCTGCATTTGCGCAATTTCTGCAATATGTGGTAGGCTAATAAAACAGGTCTGGTATGTGTAGTGTTATCCTCCTGATCTGAAACATTACACGGCAGATACCTCTGAGAGACAAGTCGCTGAGTTTGGCTTCATCTATCATGGTGTTGCGCTCATAAGGAACTTTTAAACCAGCAAACTTTGTTAGTAGGCTGCCTTTGCCTTTCCATATTAAGCAATCTTTCAAAGACAGGCCACCTGTTTCCTTATGCATTTACAGCAGCCTCATATTTAAGCTGCAGCCCGGTAACCTTAAACAACAAGGAATTCAAGGCACCTTATAGTCATTAAGCTGAGTGAGGAGGCATGGAGCACTCTCTCTGTGCTTAACATAGAAACTAAGTGGGCTGTCCCTCCTCTCTTTGCCAGCATACATATGCAACATAAAGGACTGTACCTCATTGGAACAGCCTGCGCTGCCCACAGAAGGCCTCAAGCTCAATCCCCAGCATCTCTGGGTAAGGCTGGGAGACACCCCTGTTGGAAACCCTGCTGCCAGTCAGTGTGGTGAATACTCTCCTATGCATTAATTGATTAATGGCTTAGCCAGCATCTATGCAACTACTGAATTGGTCACTTGTGGCAAGTAAAGATCTATTTAGACCAGACAGAAGGGAAGCTATCCAAACATAGGTTTTTTTGTGAGGAGGAACACACATTTGTAATATACATATGAGTGGAGAGCTAGTTATAAAAACTGTTTGAGGTGAGGACTAATAACTTGTGTAGACTTACCAGCAATTGATGTATCTCTTAGTACAGTGGTGCCTCGGGTTACAAATGCTTCAACTTACGTTTTTTCGGGTTACGACTATTGTAACCCAGAAGTAAGTTGTCCGAGCTCTTGGAGGCCTCACTGCTGCCTGGAGCCAAGCCTTGACATCCATGGGGTCTGCAGCGGCTCCGCAACTGGGCTCCAGCCACGGGAGCTCTCTGAGGCCTCCGTGAATCCCGGGAGCCAAGCCAATTGTGATTGTGGAAGAGGACCCTGAGCCCCCATCCCAACAATGACTATCATCAACGCAGGTAAGAAAAAAAATCACATTTTCATTTTGTACTTCATTTTATGGATCAGTGGCCTCGTTAGATAGTAAAATTCATGTAAAATTGCTGTTTTAGGGGTCACTTTTCATCGTCTGTTTCCTTTTTGCGTTTTGGTTTGTGTGGCTTTTTCGTTTTTTTGACTGTGACTTGTTCTTCATTTTATGGGACAGACTTGTGACTTCACTTTTGTGACTTGTTTTTGTGACTGTGTAGAACCCAGTTCAGCTACTGGTTGATCGTGTGACTTCAGAAATGGATAAAAGCCCACCATCCAAACTGATTTATCATCAGTGCACGTAAGGGGAAACAAAGTTAATTTTTTTTCTTCTAAAATACTGTCTTTCTTATTTATTTTATAGTACAGTACATCGATTATTGCCTTCATTTTATGGATCAATGGTCTCGTTAAAATGCGTGTTAAATTGCTGTTTTAGGGGGTGTTTTTCATCGTCTGGAACGGATCAATCCACTTTCCATTACTTTCAATGGGAAAGTCCGCTTCAGGTTAAGAACGGACTTCCGGAACCAGTTAAGTACTTAACCTGCGTATGTGTGGGTATCTCATCTTTCACATCTTTCAAGTCGGTACTTAAATGTTCAATCCTTTTTTCCAACTTATTAACGGATGCTGTTTTACGATCTAATCCTTCTTTAATATCATTTAACGCTGACATTACCGACTCCTCAAATTGTGTTGCTGCTTTAGAGCCATGTCTGAGCTTTTCTCTTTCTGAACTTATAGCTAAAGAATGTCAAGGTCAGTCACACAGTCTAGCACAACAATGGAGAAAAACAGTTTCCCTCCACCAAACCCACTGCAGCCAGATCAGGAGCAGCTTCCTTAGTCTTTAAAACTGCTTAAATCCCAACGACAAAAATGGCAAAGAGAAATTTTTCCAGAGCTCCCCTTATTCCTATTTTTATTCCTATTTCTAAATCCCTAGCAATCAAAGCAGAAGGAATCACCACCGACTCAACAGGCAGTTTAAAATGAATGTTACTGATGTTTATTCCACTGATCAGCAGGAAAGGAATTAATGGAGAAAGTTAAAATTGACTTTTGTACTTGGTAAGTGAAACATTTACATGACCAGATGAGTGGTATTCAGTTCCCATGTCCTCTGGGGTTACTTCTTCCTAGCTATGTAAAGGAGGGCTTGAATATGCACCTTAAATGGCACATGACAGCAAGCAAAGTCAGCCTCCCTCTGTTCAACTGCAACACTAGTTGCAGTTTACAAAAGGGTCAACTCAGCCACATGTTCAAGCTGCAGGTGAGCAATTTATATCACTTAAAAGAGTCGTGCTAAAACACAGTACCATTTTAAAAAGGCACCTTTGCTTTTCCCAGGATCAACATTCATGTCTGAAACCTCCCAGCTCCCTTCATTTCAAAACAGAAGAAATTATTGAATATTGATAGGTGTGCTTCCCTGGCCACACCACTGGGAAAGCAAGTTGTCTGATGCTACAGTTCTGCTGTGAAGCTCTTGTTATCCAACAGCAAAATTAAAAAAAACCTGGGCAGCACAAGCCCATGCGAATCAGCAAGGCTTCACTTGCCTGACTGCTAAATGTTCACAAGATGGGAATTTAAAACCAGAACTGCTCACATTGGCCAGGAAACCCAGAAGTCTGTCCTGAATGTGGAGGCCAATGTCCTTCACAACTTTTGATCCTTTCTTCTGCTTGTTCTCCTTGTTCTCCAGCTCCTCCTCTTCTCTCAATTCAGTAGGTTGGTTTCTCATTAAGGAAGGAAACTGAGGCATTGCAGCACCCAAATCAGTCAGAGAGGTTTTCGGAGAAGGGCGACTTGGATTTCTGTGTCTGCTCCAGTCGGTTGAGAATGAACTGACTGGTGTCAATGAAGCGCTCCACACAGTTCACAAAGCAGGTCTCCGCGCGGCTGTCCAACTTGGGGCCAGGCTTGTCCATGCATTTCTCCTATTAAAGATATGGAAGAGTAAGCATTGTTTAGGAACACAGGAAGCTGCCTTATACTGACTCGGACTACTGACTGACAGTGACTTCTGACGAGGAACATTCCCAGCCCGACCTGGAGATGCCAGGAATTGAAGTTAGTGCCTTTTGCACACACAAGTTATGCAACTGAGTTATACCCCTTCTCTTCCTAGTATATAGGGCTTAGGGGCATTCAAGAGACACCAGCTGTTCAGAATTTTGAACCACAGAACCAGTCCCAAAACACACCCACACCCTTTTTGCAATGTACAAGAGGGACATGCCTGGATTTCTTGTCCTGTAACTCTAAACAGAGGGACGTGGGTGGCGCTGTGGGTTAAAGTCTCAGTGCCTAGGACTTGCCGATCAAAAGGTTGGCGGTTCGAATCCCCGCGGCGGGGTGCGCTCCCGTCGTTCGGTCCCAGCGCCTGCCAACCTAGCAGTTCGAAAGCACCTTCGGGTGCAAGTAGATAAATAGGGACCGCTTACCAGCGGGAAGGTAAACGGCGTTCCGTGTGCTGCGCTGGCTCGCCAGATGCAGCTTTGTCACGCTGGCCACGTGACCCGGAAGTGTCTGCGGACAGCGCTGGCTCCTGGCCTATAGTGAGATGAGCGCACAACCCTAGTCTGGCAAGACTGGCCCGTACGGGCAGGGGTACCTTTACCTTTACCTCTAAACAGAACAGCTGGCTCAGAACACAAACACCCAGGTGGCCTCTCCATCCTCATTGCCTTCCACTGTGCCGCCACCACAGCTGTTTCAATGATGAGAAGGCTAACATAAAAAAATAAACTGCAATATCCCCTGCAGTTTCCTGATTCATGGCCTGTCTCCACCTGGGAGCTATATCTTAGTGGTACAGCACACTCTTTCACAAAGAAGGGTTCACGTTCAATCTCTTTGCATGCCTAGGTAAAACAGGACTGAGGAATCTATGCCCTCCCCATGCCCAATGATGTTGGACTATTATTCCAGTCATCACTCGCCATCTGTCATTCTTTGCTTGCATGCATTATCAGCAGCAGTACCAGCAATTTCAATAGGTGTATACGTCCTCACCAACATATCTCCATGCCAACACCACTTACTACATTACAGCTATTAAAGATGTTGGAGCCCTGCTATGATGGTGAGTGTAAGCAGCAGTGAATTTGCACCCACTCACCACAGGCCACCAATACAAACATAAAGAGAGCCATGGCTGGATCAGATCCATAGTCCATCAAGTCCAACCATTCAAGTTTCTCACAGTGGCTTCTTTCCAGGAACTGAATTCCCAGTAGCCACACACACAGCCACTGGTTGTTTCCAGCAACACAGGGAATTCAAAAGCCTCATAATCTAGAACTTTTATTTAGCCAATCAATAGACCTCTCCTCCTCCTCCTCCTCCTCCAGGACTTCATCCAATTGTCTTTTAAAGCCACCTAAACCAGGGGCCTGTTGTCTTTGACCATGGAGTTTTCTTGGCAGGGATACTGGAGTGGCTTGCCGGTTCCTGCTCCAGCATCTTAAAAAGCAGAGACATCACCTTGCCAACAAAGGTCCGTATAGTTAAAGCTATGGTTTTCCCAGTAGTGATGTATGGAAGTGAGAGCTGGACCATAAAGAAGGCTGATCACCAAAGAATTGATGCTTTTGAATTATGGTGTTGGAGGAGACCCTTGAGAGTCCCATAGACTGCAAGATCAAACCTCTCCGTTCTTAAGGAAATCAGCCCTGAGTGCTCACTGGAAGGAGTGAAACTGAGGCTCCAATACTTTGGCCACCTCATGAGAAGAGAAGACTCCCTGGAGAAGACCCTGATGTTGGGAAAGATGGAGGGCACAAGGAGAAGGGGACGACAGAGGACAAGATGGTTGGACAGTGTTCTCGAAGCTACCAGCATGAGTTTGACCAAACTGCAGGAGGCAGTGGAAGACAGGAGTGCCTGGCGTGCTCTGGTCCATGGGGTCACGAAGAGTTGGAAACGACTAAACAACAACAAACCAGGGGCTTCAGTATCCACAATTTCTGTATTATTTCATAAAATTTATGCACTGCTTGGGGGGGGGGAACACCCTCAAAGCAGTTAAGAATGTGTAGGCTGAAAGACTTTGCTCCCAGAGCCTTCAGTCCTCCTTGCTCACTGTGACTTTGTCTGATCTCCTGTTAAAGCCACCCAAGCCAAGGACTATCACTGCAGCTAGTAGCAGTAAGTTTCCATGTCAGTATGTACCACAAAAAAAGAATTAACACCTATAGGGACACCAGTCCTTTGCATGACCTACTTTTAAAGCGTCTGTCCATCGCCACATAGACAGAGACAGAATCACAGAGTTGGCAGGGGCCCTGAGGATCACCTTGCAGTGGGGGGAAAGTAATTTAAATTGAGCAACCACATCACAGCCAAACCACCCAGAGGTACAAGTCCTCCTCCTCGATTTTGCTAGACCACCTTCTGAAGCACATTTCTGGTCTCACCACCACAGGCAAATCCACATTCAACGCACATTTAAAAAACATGGCTTCCCCCAAAGAATATTGGGCTCCGTGATGTAAAGGGTCCGAGAACTGTGTCTCTGAAGGGGAAACTCTATTTCCCATGATTCTTGGGGGGGGGGTTTAGAAAGCATGTGTTTTAAATGTACGGTGCGGATCTGCTCCCCATCTTGCGGCAGCACGTGCCGCAAGTTAATTGCACGTAGCATGAAAGAGTGGGGGGTGAGCTTTGGTCCCGTAGCCCTCGGCCCCCTTCCTCCTCCATTATGATTTCCATCTGATCCCCCACCGCCGCACCCTCTTCCGGACACTCTGCCCGATCCATAGCTGTCAACTTTTCCCTTTTCTTGCGAGGAATCCTATTCAGAATTTCCTTCAAAAAGGGGGAAACGTTGACAGCTATGGCTCTAAAGCTATCCTCTAAGCCTGCTGCAGCGAATCTTGCGGCAGAGAGTTCCAAAGGTCAACCGCGAGCAGCGCGAAGGAGGCCTCCGCCTGCGCCCCGGGCTATCAGCTCCTCCTTACCCAGCAGAGCTCCGTCATCTGGTGCACGAGCTGCTGGAAGCGCTGCTTCTGCGTCTCCACCTCAATGAAGTGCTGCAGCTGCGGGTCGTTGACGGCCGCCCCCAAGTCTCCCGCGGCGGACGAAGGGTCCATGCCGGGCCCGACCTGTGAGCCGACAGCGACCGATCGGAGGAAGCGAGGAAGGGGGAGAGGACGGCGATCTGGCAGGCGACCTTCACGTGCAGCTAGCCCCCGCCCCCGGCCGTCCCCTCCGCGCGCGCGCGGTAAGCTTCCGCTTCCAGAGTGCACCGCGCGAGTAAGGCTTCATCCGAGCGCTTCCTCTTTCCGGCGGTGGGCGGAGCTGTGCGCGCGCGAGGCCATAGAGCTACGGAGTATGGGGGGGCGTGTAGAGTTGCCATCGGGTAAGAACACGGTGGGTTCTGCAGTTCGGCTTCACGCGCGCCTACTCAGAAGGAAGCGACATGATGCAGCTCCCAGGAAAATGCGTATAGAGTTATTACAATTAGCATTAATAATTTAATTAGAACATCTGGAGGGCCACGCACCTCCCCTCACTAATTCAGGTAGGTAGCCGTGTTGGTCTGACGCAGTCGAAATAAATTTAAAAAATTGTCCAGTAGCACCTTTGAGACCAACTAAGTTTGTTCTGAGTCTAAGCTTTCGTGTCTATGTGCCCATCCTGTATTTTTATAGTAGTGTCCAAAAAATGTATTTCTTGCATAGATTGGTTCATTGTTAGGTTGATGGTGGAGTGAAAGTCACTGAATGTCTGGTGGAAGGTGTCCAGGGTCTGCTGACCATGTGTCCAGATAATAAAAATATAATCAATGTATAGCGGGTACAAGAGAGGTTTGAAAGGGTAGGAGTTTAGGAAGCATTGTTCCAAATCTGCCATGAAGATGTTGGCATACTGTGGGGCCATGCATGTGACCATTGCTGTGACGCTGATCTGAGAAAAACCGCACCCCACCCTCCCACTATATATAAGGGTCTGGTGACTTCTCTTTCAGTGTATCTGAAGAAGTGTGCATGCACTCGAAAGCTTATACCCAGAACAAACTTTGTTGGTCTCTTAAGGTGCTACTGGACATTTTTAAATTTTTTTATTTATGTCCTAAAATGCATTATTGGAGATCTCTGCGAATGGAGTGAATTCAAAACCCAAGATGTCTTGTCTGCAGCTGTTTGCAGCAGAGATGTCACAAAACACCCTCTGCCCCCACTGCACTGCACTGCAATGCAGAGATAATAGCCCTCAGGGCACCCATTAATTCTGGCTCTGACCCTCAACACACACCTGGCATCCTGCAATGTGGGAGATGTAAGCCTCTCTCTCTCAACCTCATCTCTGCCCCGTGCAATGCGGGGAGAAGTGAGCTACATTACATTGATGTTTTAAGCTACTGAAGTGTCTGAAGAAATGTGCATGCAAACAAAAGCTCATACCAATAACAAACTTAGTTGGTTTCTAAGGTGCTACTGCAAAAAAAAAAAATTACTTTGTTTCTAAAAACCCAGTTCCTTTATTATCCTGGAGTGGAGCCTCAGTTTATTCACATCCCCTTGTTGAGATTTCCCCCTTCCTTTTGCAGCAGAAGGGCCACGGTGGAATATTTATCAGCATACCAAATCTAATTTATGGGATGGGGAATGTGTGAGTGCATGAGTGTAACTGTAAATTCAACCTTTTAAACAAAATGTTAACCTAAATAAATAAATTTGCATCTTGGGCCATTGAAAGCACATGGCAGATGACTGGGTGACTGGAAAGGGTAGCAAGATGTGGTGGTAGAAATATCTAGGAAATATGATAAACAATCGGGTATATTTCCCTTTTATATATTTCATTTTCATATTATTTCCTGTAATTGTTATTTCATCATAGCAAAACAAGTTTCCAAACAATGACATCATCCTTGAAAAATTATTTGAATCCCATAATGCCATTTCAAGTTACAGGTAGAGAGCCATGATACTGCATTAAAAGGGATTTACTCTGCTGAAGAGGAAAATAGTACCCAGCCAGCACTTGCTGTCATAAGTTAGATCTTCTTTAGCACTTCGGTGAATTCAGATACAAGCCAGTTATTACACGAGAGGCAGACGAAAAGAATCTGGTATTGTCTGATAGATCCAGTTACTTTTGTCATGATGTAGATCCATCCATTCATTGTCCATCTAGAAATTCTGGAGCGAACATACAAAAATAAGCAGTAGTAAAGGAGCGATTGGATGATGGCAGTTCAGGGGTCTTCATTTGCTAAATCCAAAATGAGGCTCAGAAGGACTTGAAAGGTAGGACGCTCATCTGCTTTCTGGAGCAAAAGAACAGAAAAGAGGGGAAAGCTTATACCAATAAGGTTATTTGCTTAATAGACATTAATGTACTATTATTTATTACATTTATCCATTGCTTACTACAAAAATGTATCCAAGCAATTCATATAAAATACCAAAAGCTTGTCAGTTATTTAAAAACAAATAGAACAAAAATACAATAAAACCAAAATTTATAAGGATGCTCATCTAACAACAACAAAAACAATGAATCCTGCTCCATTTCAAGCAACAAAACGCCACCCCTGTGTTATAAGAACTTTAATATTGAATAAATATTCATAAATGCACACATATCTAAATATATGAACCATGTGTCTGAAATAGTATGGGAGAGCAATCCTGAAGCCATTTTGACTCTCCCAATGACTTCAGATATTCCTCTGCAGTAAGGGAGGCAAAGGGAGAAAGCCTTCCCATTGTCTTTTTGCTTGCAAATCCTGTCTTAATGGCGCGTTTGTATATGAATAGGGTGAGCCTGTGACCTGGATTCAGGAACTAAAGTATTAACCATCACAAAAGAAAGGCCAAACTGCCCAGATAATGCAATCAGTGACCATTATTGGGTCACTGAATCCTGGCAAACAGGATTTCTGCTGTAGGCTGCCTCCTTCTGCAATGTATGTATGATGTTTTAGGGGTGGTGGTCTTGGGCTTGCGCACCATTGTTCAGGGTTCTCCCTCCCTCCTGCATGTGGTGAGTGGGGACGCTGTTGCAACAGTTCCTTTAATAAAGATCAGGCTTTCTAGCCGCATTGCTTCTCAATATACTCTGGTTGGCCTCTGTTATTTTCTCCTACCAATAAGGAACCGACTTAAGGACTCTATATGGGCTCCAGAATACCTCATAAGGGAAAGGGAGCAGTTTTTCTTATAACAGTTTGGCAAGCGAGGCAAGAGGCTCAGTTGCCCGGATCCTGGGGACGAGGAGGGACTTGTGACCCAGCGCGTACCACGCGGATTGCCAAGAGGAGCCACCAATCCTCCAGCGGTCCCAGGGTCTGGCGATAACTGGAGTTATTACATTTTACCATTTACAGTTCCTGATTTATGGTAAAAAGAGAGAACTTCATTACTGGGTGACATGCAAGTATTGCTAATAAATAAGCAAGCAACCGGGGCAGTTTACGGGAAGCCTTACCTCGTGCCAACAGCTGTACATGATGGCGTAGACTCTCTCAGAGGCCAGCTGGGGGCGATAGAGACGCAGCCCTTTGGTCACATGCTCAGTGGTCTCGCTGTTGCTAAACCTCTCGTAGGGCATCTTCCCCAAGGTGTAAATCTCCCACATCAGGACACCTGTCAGTCAGGAAAGCACCATAATGGAACTTGGAATCACTGGCTCAACCCCTTATCTTGTGGTGACCTCTGTGTTCTACATGGAAGCTGCCTCCTACTGGGTCATGGTGAAAAAATGGAGCATTGATTACAGTCCTTTAGCATCTCTTAAGTCTCTACTGTTTAAGCTCCAGTGTCTCCTTGTTTTGTATTTATAGTCAGATATGGCAATGTATGTATATTAAACATCCCCCAAAGCCCTATGAACACTGTTCCCTATCCCTAGGATTTACTGTGAGTTCTTAAAGGCCTAGCCCTCACATCTATTCTGGGGCCTGCAAATCACATCAGCAACACAGTGTTCTTAATGCCTTCCCTATTGCAGGTAGGGTTCCGTTCATTTGCCTGTCCTTAAATCTACTGCCATAGAAAGTTCATCCTGGGGTGTTATTAGTAAATGAAAAAGGGAATTCGTGGAATGAAACCAAGGGGGCCTTGGGGAGAGAATTTTTGATTTATATTTTTTCTTTGTTAAGGGAAAGATGATGATTGTATAATTTAAATTGGAATTTGGGGCTAAATAATTTAAGGTTTAAATTGGGAGTGAGAGCTTGTAGAACCAACATTATGAAAGGGGAATACAGTAGGGAGGGGAGGGGAGGGGGAAGTCCTGGAAAGTGGGCAATGAAAATTAGATTCTAAAAGTATTTCAATTTTGTTTTATTTTTATTTTTATTTTTTATTTTTATTTTTTCTGTATTCTGAAAATTTTAATAAATATGATTATAAAAAAAAAGAAAGTTCATCCTCTGCCTATTCCAGGTTCTACATCAGTGGCACACAATTTCAGCTCACCAAAAGCCCAAATGTCCGATTTGCTGCTGAACTTGCTGTACAAAAGAACCTCTGGAGGGGACCACCGGACTGGAAATTTGGATCCCATGGAGCTAATGTAGTCATCATCCAAGACGTACCTGTGTAGACAGATTTTGGTTGTGCTAGTTTATATGTTGCCTTACAGGATCTTGTGCTTCCTAAAAGCCTAAAAGCTCCTCAGGATGAACATTCATTCCAATTTGTGTGCACAAAGCTTCTGTGGAGATTAAACAATGTTTGCTCTTTACTGAGCAATGCACATCCATTCTTACTTGTTTGCAGGAAGGTTATACAAGAACGTGCATTCATCCTGATTTGTTTGCATGGAAATTATATGTGTTCCCATCAGTCGATCATTATCCTATCCTTTTAAAGTGCCTTCCCCCAAGACTCTTTAAGCAGAAAAGGTTGCCTTCAGATTATCAGTATGTTGTTGGAGACATTCACTCACATAGAGGAAATTTAAGTTTGCATAACAGAAGTGCCCTGTCACTCTGGTACAACACATCCACTTTGGAAAAAAAGAAACTGACTTCTGTGGCTAGGAGACTCCAAGAAGGCTGGCCAGTCGGAAATGTGACCTTTGGATTTAAAAGGATTGCCCTTCCCTGCTATACACTTGCCTAGGAGCAAGCTCTACTAAACTCAAATGCAGCTTCTGACTTAATAGGATTGCACTGCAAACCACGCCAAATGCTTCCTTGAAAAGACATCTCTGTGCTTTCTGTCAAAACCATTAGAATTGTTGTGTCTTCTCATATGCAAGTTTGTGCACTTAAACAACTAAGGCTCTTATGAGCTAGGTGGACACCTCCTGCCTCTCAGTAAGAACATCATGGCTGGCGAGAGACCAGCCTGCCTTCCCTCCCACCATTGTCCAGAGAAGGAGCAGCAGCTCCAGTGTTAGCTTTCCTCTTCCCTCCTCATTTATTTTTCCTTTGTATCATGTCTATCAGATTGTGGGCCTCTGGACAGGGCTGTCTTCTGTTTTAATGTACAGTATGTGCCATGCTTAGGGATGCGGGTGGCACTGTGGGTTAAACCACAGAGCCCAGGACTTGCCGATCAGAAGGTCGGCGGTTCGAATCCCCGCAACGGGGTGAGCTCCCGTTGCTCGGTCCCTGCTCCTGCCAACCTAGCAGTTCGAAAGCACGTCAAAGTACAAGTAGATAAATAGGTACCGCTCTGGCAGGAAGGTAAATGGCGTTTCCGTGCACTGCTCTGAAGCAGCTTAGTCATGCTGGCCACATGACCCAGAAGCTGTACGCCGGCTCCCTTGGCGAATAAAGCGAGTTGAGCGCCACAACCCCAGAGTCGGCCACGACTGGACCTAATGGTCAGGGGTCCCTTTACCTTATGTGCCATGCTTAGGAAACGTTAAGCACTTTATGTCTTAAATAATAATAACCGACTAAGAGTTGTTTAATCAGGTAACAAATCTAAAATAAAAAGAGGTAGTCCGAAATGGTAGCTGCAGTGAAGGATGCAAACAAAGAGGCTGAGGAGGAACAATAGAATGACAGTTATAATGAGAAAGGGAATAAGAAAAAAGGCATATACAAAGGTAAACAGAAAAAGCTAAGCAACCTCAGCTTCCTGCACACGCATATGCACACAAACTGACCTGGAGAGGCCAAAATCCGAGACTTTGACAACACCTTGTTCACTGATCAAACAGTTTCGAGCAGCCTGTGGCAGAGATATAAGAGAATATGGTCTCAACATACTTTAGCTGGGTGGCTACCAGAGCAGGAATAAAACACAACAACAGTAACTTACAAAATACAGTTATTACAAATGCAATAAGAAAACAAAATGCAGCAGGAAGACCTCCTTTCTAGCAGAGAAAAAGCACAAAACCCAGGGCCATTGCTCAGTGGTAGAGCATCTGCTTTGAATGCAGAAGGTCTCAGGATCAGTCCCCAGCACCTCCAGGTAGGGCAGGGCGTGTCCCCCACCTGAAACACTGGAGAGCTGCTGCCAATCAGTGTAGATAACATAGAGCTGCATTGGCCAGTGGTCTGAGTGGGTAAAATGAAGTTTCCTATGTTCCACTTTTCCAATCAGCAGCAGAGATGATAAAATAAGACTTGGTTCACAGCACTGAGAGGCCAGATTTTGTGTAAAAAAAAATATACATTCTGTTCAAAATGTGAGGAAAAGAGCTCAAGCAACAAGCAGGTGCTCTTCTCTGGGGAAGTTATTCCATAGCCAGGGTGCTACTAACAAGGAGGTCCTCTCCCTATTAGGCACACCGCCCCCAATTTACTTCAGATGGCAGGGGTATATGGAGCAGTCGAAAAGCAATCGCCCACCAGGTCTCTGTGCAGGAACTGCTTGGATTCCAGGTACCCCATGGCCTCGCAGACATCCTTGCACATCTCTAGAAGCTCCGTGCCCTGGAGGGACCGCCGAGTGTCCCGCAGGTAAGTCAAGAGGCAACCTTTGGAGAGGTACTCGGTGACGATCAGTATTGGCCTCTCCTTCGTGCAGACTCCAAATAGCTGCACTAGCTTCTCGTGTGAGAGGTTCCTGGAGTGAGAAAATATCATAAGAACATAAGAAGAGGCTTGCTGGATTGGGCCAAAGGCTCATCTAGTCCAGCATCCTGACCAACAGGATGTCTCTGGGAAGCCCTAAAAGTAGGATGTGAGTACAACAGCACTCTTCCCACTTGTGATTCCCAGTGACTTGGCGGCAGAATGGAGAGCTGCCTCTTGAGATTCTCCACAATACTCTAGGGGAAGAAAAATCATCATTGGTCCATTTATTACCTCAGAATTCTCTACGAAGACTGGCAGTGGCTCTAGATAATTTGAGACAGGTGTCTCTGTTAGCTCTACTTGGGAGTTACCATGGGGGTATTCTGCCATGAAAGCAAATATTCTGTCACTGGGCTATGGACCTTCCCATTTTCCATTATTATTATTCTCCACAAGAGCACAAGTAAATGCTAAAAACAACAACCATGTTCTGCTATTTCCAGGATGGGGAACCTGTTGCCCTCCAGATGTTGACAGACTATACAGTGGTGCCTCTGGTTATGTACTTAATTCGTTCCAGAGGTCTGTTCTTAACCTGAAACTGTTCTTAACCTGAAGCACCACTTTAGCCAATGGGGCCTCTGGCTGCCACCACGCCAACGCCGCGCAATTTCTGTTCTCATCCTGAAGCAAAGTTCTTAACCTGAGGTACTATTTCTGGGTTAGCAGAGTCTGTAAACTGAAGCGTCTGTAACCTGAAGTGTATGTAACCCGAGGTACCACTGTAGTTCCCATTATCCTTTGCCACTGGCCATGTTGGCTTGGGCTGATGGGAGCTGAAGTCCAGTGACATCTAGAGGAGAACAGGTTCTGTATCCTTGTGGTTTTCAAAAAGACTGGATATCTTTGTGTGTTTTGATTTGAGTCATTTGGGGTGATGACTCTGGCTGTAGTAGCTGTGCCTGTGTAGGAACCAATAAACGGGAGATTTGACAGGAGGGGGTGGGCTAAATGCTCCTTTGGTTCCCTTTCAGTCTCTCAGCACATGCTTTTCATGCAGCAGATTTAGGGTACCTTCAGACTGTCAGTATTCAGTATTCAGTACAAGGATGTTTCAGTTTGCAAAGTTAAAAATGCATAAAAGTCCTCTTTCATCCTGAAGCAACAAATCCTCCTTACTAAAAGAAAGACATTTTGCAGTTTAAGAAAGTGACGGTGGAATGTACCCAAATGTGTGGAATGACAGGGAAGATGCAAAACCACTGCACAGGGAAATCAGGATGAATGATTATTGACTTATAACTACCCCACAAACAAACCAGACTTGATGCTCAATTTACCATATATATCCAAACCTCTGCGCAATCTTTGTGGTAGCTAACCACAAAGACTGCTCAATAAATAGACGTGCTCTTAATTCTTGGTATCATCAGTTAAGCAGGGATAGGAAAACTGTGGCCTTGCAGATGTTACTGGGCTCTAACTTCCACCACCCCAGGGACTTGTAGTTCTGTATTCTCAATGTACCCCATCCCTATCACAGAAGAAATAAGAATCTACCCAGAAAAAGAGAGACAGACAAAGAGACGAATATAAAGTTATTTGCTACTCACATCATGACTTTGGCTTCTTCGATGAATGCATCCTCTGACATGGAGCCTTCCTTGATCATCTTCACTGCCACATCATGCTGGCCTCTCCATTTCCCGTGCTTCACCACCCCAAATTGCCCTGTCCCCAGCTCCTTGAGGAATGTTAGGTCCTTTGGATCAATCTCCCATGCCCCTAGAATCAACACAAAGCACAGTGTGAGGTGTGAATCATTGTGGGAAGAAGGATTCTTAGAACTGGGCTGGGCAACCTGTGGACTCCAGCTCCCATCAGTCCTAGTCAGCATGGCTAAAGGTCAGGGATGCTGGGAAATGTAGTCAAACAACATGCAGAGGGAAACACATTTCCCACTGCTAATACAGAGGGGAAAGCAGCAAGAGCAGCTGTTTGGTTCACCTATCCCAAGCCCACTTTCACTGCAGGGGAGCAAGAGAAAGACAGTAAAGGTGAAGGTGCAACATACAGATAAATCCCAAATGAAGAGCATTCAAATATTACCATATCCAAGTCCTGCCGTGGAAGGAGCGGTTCTCTGTTGCGATGACACAGGGTACTTCAGTCTGGAAATAAGCCCTAGGGTGCATCAAAACAATTATATTTTGAAGTAGTGCATTCATAATAATATAGATGCAAAGCAATATAAATTGTATTACCATGCATATTATAAACAGAGCTGTATATATTCTATGCTAAAGATATCCAAATTCAGCATCAAGATGACAAGCCCAAATTGCGCAGCTTGTGTAAGTTATGCTAATGCAATCTTAGGCTGTGTAAACAGAAGCATAGTGTGCAATACATGAAAAGTAATAGCTTGGTTTAATCCTGTGCTGATCAGGCCACATCAGGAATACGGTGTCAATATCTGAGTACCACATTTTAAGGACACTAGCTGTGCAAACCCCGATACATTTAAAACACATTGCTTCCCTCAAAGAATCATGAGAACTATAGTTTACTCCTTGTGCAGCTACAAGTTATGCACATACATTGCCTTTAAAGCACAATCCTCCCACCAAAGAGTTCTAAGCGCTGTGATTTGCTAAAGGTTGCTGGGAATTATATATCTGTGAGGGGTAAACTACCTTGTCAAGAGGTATCTGAGGGAAAGCATGTCCTATGAATGTGCTTTGAAGGTATAGTCTGTATGCAGCCACACTTCTTTGTCCCCTTAACAAACTACAGTTCTTAGGATTCTTTGAGAGAAGTCATGTGCTTTAAATGTATGGTGTGTATGCAAGCATTGACAGAATAGAGTATATCCAGAGGTCAGTGACTTGGATGAGGCGATATCTGGAAACCAAGCCCAAAGGGGAATGGTTGAAAGAGTTGTGCATGTTTCATTTGGAGAATAGAAGATGAGGGGAAAGCATAACTGTCTTCAAATAACTGATGATGGAAGAAACTTGTTGTTTGAGAGGACAGGAGAAAACACAACAGGTGCAAATTGCAGTGGGACAGATTTCAGTCAAATGTTGGGAGAAACCTCTGAGGGGTAGGAGCTCTTTCTACCTCTTTATACTCTGTGAACATTTATTTTCAAAAGCCACACTCTTTTTGTGTTTGCATTTTTTAATTATAAGTTTTTAAACAGTTTTAAACTGCATTTTAAATTGTTTTGACCTGCCCTGGGATCTTAGGGCAAAGGACAGGTAATAAATTAAAATACGTTGTTGACCTTCTTTGCCTTTATCAAGCTGTTGGCATTTATCTCTCCCCTTCCCCCACCCCCACCTCCATCGTAAAAGTCGGCAAGTATATTTGTGCCTCAACCATTTCGTTCCTCACCTGCTGCATTGTGTTGGTGGTAGTTGATCAGCTCTGGGATGGTGTTGAAGAGGTGCTTCTCTGCCAGGAAATACTGGTTCTGGGGTGTGGAGCACACAACGTAATGGCGGATCATCCCCTGGGGGTCCCTGTGAAATCAATTGTGGATTGGTGACCAGTAGGGTAATGATGAATTCTGGAGTTCATGACTCCTAAGGTGTGACTAAAGGAAAACCGATAATTCCAGGGAATGCCATTGATGGATTTCAACCACTGCTGCACAACAAGTTAAGAGCAACAACATGAGAAGGATGGAAGGGACAAGCAAGGCAGCACAGGGCTGAGCAGTCTTTTCTGAAGCCAAAGCGGTGGCAGCTATATGTGGAGCCAGAGCCTATGACAAGCAAAGCCACACTTTGACTGGTTGTAAGTAATAAGGTAGGCAGATGAGAGCAGGTCAGGTACTGACTCGAACAGAATGTCCCTATTTTCCGAGGAAAGTTGCAAAATATGAGACTGAGGTGGGTGGGGCAGTATTCCCAAGTGTGCTAATGAACCAGCATCCATTGAGTCAAAAGGCACATTCCCCCAGGAGTGAAGTGCTAGGCAGGGTCAAAGCCCAAAGTGCGTAGGGACACCCCTTTTTCTCTTTTTCTCCCTTTCATCATCCATCCATAGATCCATTCCATCTTCCTCATGCACACAAAACCCACACCCCCCATATAATTACACACATACCTCCAGCAGGTACTCATAGACACAAGCATGCACCCCATTCACCCATCTTCCATTCATTATCTCTCTCCTCTTCATCTATTGTTGTGAAGGTACAGGGGGGTATCAGGGGCCAGGCAGAGGGAAGAGGAGGGTCACAAGCAACTAGCGGGTTGCAGCAGGAGCAGGCTAGAACAGATGTTATCCTCCATCTGGGGCTCATCCTCATATCTGTCCTACTGTTGAGGTTTTTACTGAGGACTAGTATAATGCGTGGTCATCTTGTTCCCGCATCAGCAGGCCACACTTACCCAGATGACTTGCCAAACACAGAGACTGTATATTTTCCTGTATTGCTGATGGAGTCTCGGACAATGAAGCCACCATCTTTGCCCTGAAATTTGGAAGCAGGTGACATCATTAACATTTCATGTGTGGGGTAGGGGGTGGGGAATGAGGAGCGATCTTTGAAGTAAGCTGCAAGAAGCAACCATGTGCCTAGTGCAAACTGCAGCGGGTTCAGGGACCTGCATGTCCTTGACCCTGTAGAAGTGATATCTAGTGTTTTGACCCTACTAATGCATCCTCAGTCTTTGCCCTCCCTTCCTTTACAACTCTCCCACCTCCTCATCTATCCCCTCACAGCTTGGCCAAAATTCCCGTTTGCAAATCCCCGCCCCCCACAGCTTGCCCCAACCCCTTTTAAAAGAGGGTCAGAAGAAACACTTCAATAGCAATTTGACAAAATACTCTGTAAAGTGCCTCCCCCATCACTGAAGCCATAGGTAATGGAAGAGGAGGTTAATCTGAGTCTTGCTAGACCTACATATGCATCAATTCCATATGCTAGGGTATGTTTTATAAAGGCAGCAGAACGGTCTCTCCTGCAGAATCTGCTTAAACTTTTGTGTGCAGTTTTTGCTGCTTTTGATAAAGACTCACAGACACCTTGCCATTTTGATTAGGGTGGTAGAAAAGCAGCTATGTAACCTAAACAAGGGATGCAGGTGGCGCTGTGGGTTAAACCACAGAGCCTAGGACTTGCCAATCAGAAGGTCAGCCGTTCGAATCCCCACAACGGGGTGAGCTCCTGTTGCTCGGTCCCTGCTCCTGCCAACCTAGCAGTTCGAAAGCACGTCAAAGTGCAAGTAGATAAATAGGTACCACTCCAGCGGGAAGGTAAACGGCGTTTCCGTGCACTGCTCTGGTTCGCCAGAAGCGGCTTAGTCATGCTGGCCACATGACCCGGAAGCTGTATGCCGGCTCCCTCGGCTAATAAAGCGAGATGAGTGCCGCAACCCCAGAGTAGGTCACGACTGGACCTAATGGTCAGGGGTCCCCTTACCTTTAACCTAAACAAAAGTGAGGGCTTAACATGTTTTGGCAAAAAGACAATGAAGTGTGTTCAAAAGCCCCTAAGTGTGGAACCACATTTTTGGAAAGGTCCCTGTTGCTCATTTCCCCCCATCCCCCACCCCAAGATGCCCACATGAAAGATAACACTGATGGAAAATTGGAATGGAAAGGTCCAACCCCCTGGTCCCATTACTGATTGATATAAAAGGCGTAACAATCCCCCCCCAGGGGTTTTCTTCTTCTTTTACTTTTTTGAAGGAAGTGGGTTAGTAGTTAGTAGTTGTTTTTCCCCCTTTCTCATGCTTTGCATACCCTCACCATGGGATCTGGTCTACAGCCAGCATGACAACAGAATGGCAAGCAGGTGAGCAACAAGTAGCCTGGATGGCAGGCAACCCAGGTGAACTGTTTAACAGGGGCACTGCAGAGAGCTGATTGCCAAACCACTCTCTGAGTGCCTTGCCTGCTCTCAACAGCCATGTTTAATGGAGAAGAGGACGTCATTCTCTCTGAAGTGCTTCCCTCACTCAGTAAAATAGCTCCCCTGGGCCGCCTGCCATCCATATTGTTTGCTCACCTGCCAGGCAGACATTCTGTTGTTGCACTGGAAGTTGGCGTCCCCATGGAACTGCAGCATGATGACTGCCTTACATTTTTATGTATATAGGCAGATATACATGTTTGGGCATTTTTAATATTATCTGCTGACTTTATAATTTAACTCTCACAGTGAAAGAGGAAGGAAAGGAGAAAGGAAGTACTTATACACTCACCTCTTGCTTCAGCAGTTCCTCTGCTTGCCTTCTAGTTATGTTTTTCAAATACCACCTGAAACATGACATAATATTTGCCAGGGAGGAACTGCAAAGAAGAGGGCTGGGAGGTGGGAGGTGGTGAACCTCTACATTTGGGGTGAAATGTTAACATAAAGCTCAAACATTTCCCACCCAATCAGGGCAGATTACTAGGTACCTTGGCAAATGTGTGTTCTCCAAGGTTGCAAATCTGGGGGCAATGGAAGTATTTTGTAAGGGATGAGCTGTCAGGAAAATGAGACGGATGCTTAACCACTCCTGCACCCATCGATTCTCCCCCATGAAATCAATTATCCCTTGACGCCAGTTCCCCCTTTGCCATATTTCTGCTTTCCCCGGCCTGTTAGCAGGGGTGTGGGGGTGTGATGAAGAATGGGTTAGAATGGGAGGCATTTGCAAAAAAGACTCAGAAGGCAGAAATGACAGGGCCCTCCTCTTCCCAGGCACCGGTTCTCTACTACAAATATGAAACACTGCAGAGGAATAGACAACGTTGTCAGTTTTGGTTTCTCCTGTTCTATTTTTTCTAATCAGAAATTTGGTTTGCCCCATTTCTGCATATATTTGTGATTAAAAATAAATAAATTCCTGTGTATGTTTGGGTGCTTATCTCCTACTACAGTGGTACCTCGGGTTACATACGCTTCAGGTTACATACACTTCAGGTTACAGACTCCGCTAACCCAGAAATAGTGCTTCAGGTTAAGAACTTTGCTTCAGGATGAGAACAGAAATCATGCTCTGGCGGCGCAGCAGCAGCAGGAGGCCCCATTAGCTAAAGTGGTGCTTCAGGTTAAGAACAGTTTCAGGTTAAGTACGGACCTCCGGAGCGAATTAAGTACTTAACCCGAGGTACCACTGTATATGCAATTCTGCCTAGGATAAACATTTTGCAAGTCGTTCCCACCACCCAATAGAATGCATTTTTGTGTATTATCCACTATGTCTACATGAGCTTTTCATGATTATACACAATTTTAGTGTGCATTCTTTGGTTGAAGAATGGCATAATAAAATTTGTAGAAGTGTGAATTTTGAAGGAGAGCTGTTGCTTGGTTCTCGATTTGTAGATTTGGTAAGTTCACCAAACACATTCCCCCCCTCATCACTACCCCCATTCCAGACTCAAGAATGTATCTTACTACAAATACAAAGGGACAGATATTCTTATGTTTTTCTCATAACATTTAACTTCTGCCCTCAGGCCCACAGTTCCAAGGAAACTCACTCATACATCTCCAGAGAATCTTTTGTTTCTGTGACATAGTTGCTGGGAATGTAGCCTTCTTTCCTGTAGGGCGAAAGAAAACAACACCATGAGCCACTCCCTATGCAACTGACAGGAACCCAAGAAAAAAGGGCTGTAGCTCAGTGGAAGGGCACTGACTTTGCATGCAGAAGATCCCAGGCTCAAATGCTTTGGCTCAGCTTAAAGTCCAGCTCTTTATTAGCAAAAACACAATCTCAACAGACTCGGCCCAGTATACCTGAAGGAGCATCTCCACCCTCATTGTTCAGCCCAGACACTGAGGTCCAGCTCCGAGGGCCTTCTGGCAGTTCCCTCTCTGCAAGAAGTGAGGTTACAGGGAACCAGACAGAGGGCCTTCTCGGTAGTGGTGCCCGCCCTGTGGGATGCCCTTCCATCAGATGTCAAGGAAATAAACAACTATCTGATTTTTAGAAGACATCTGAAGGCAGCCCTGTTTAGGGAAGTTTTTAACGTTTCAAGCTTTATTCTGTTTTTAATGTTCTGTTGAAAGCCACCCAGAGTGGCTGGGGAAACCCAGCCAGATGGGCGGGGTAGAAATAATAAATTGTTGTTGTTGTTGTTGTTGAGTGCCAGGCCCAATGAGAAGAGCAGCTCATTCCTGGTGGTCTTCCATGAAAATCAGTTGCCGAGAGTGAAAGTCCCCAACTTCTCACAGCTGCCTGTCCCCTCCTCTCCAGGGCTTTCCCCAAACAACCAGAGACTGCACCTATGGCAGCCAACCTCTCCTCTCTTCACGCCTTGCCTAGTTCTGGGAGACCAGGAGAGAGGGGAGCTTGTCACATCAGGAGAGAGAAACACCTGTGACTCTTCACCAGCCTGACTAATCTCTGCCTCTTAACATCCCTCTTTCCATCCTCCTGCTCCAGCTTCTGATTCTGGACTGCTCTCTGCCACAGACTCTCCCTGCTCACTAAGCCCTGTTACCTCTTCAGCTTCCAACACCTCCTCTTCCCAATCCTTTCCCCTGTGGCCACTCATTGTTGCCCCACCACCACTCTCCGGGCTCTGAGCCTTCTTCCCTTGGAGGTTCCTCAGCTGGTTCCTCCCAGGACATTCCTCTGCACCCAACCAGTCCATGACAAGCACCATACATTTTCTCCTACCATACACATGTTTTGTATTGAATTTTCCCTAAGAGGTACATTTTTTGCAAAGCAATTTCTCCCAGAATAATGCATCCGTGTTTATTGTCTTCACTAGTAAATGCATGTTTATGCACACTTTATCCCAGTAGATGCATTCTTGAACATGTTACTTGGCTGCAAATCTGCACAGCAAAATTATGAGAAGTGCACATTTCGAAGGACAGCCGACTCCGTTCTCATATATTCCCACCCCACCCCGGAAAATGTGAATTAGTTAGGTTCACCTTTAAATGATAATTAAATCTACTTTCCCCTCATCTCCACCTGTGGGACAGGGTGTGTGCAAGTGGAGGGTGGGCTCCTGGCAGTGGCCTTGCACTGTTCTCCCCCCTACTGTCTGTGTTGGGTCTCTTACCCGTTCTGATCTTGTGCTCTCCACCAGGACTCATTGCTCTCCTCCAGGACAATGTACTCTTCGCCCTTTTGCAGCTCCAGGTCCTGTTCAGTCATGGGGAGATAGTCATAGAGAGCCACGACTTTCCTCGTCCTAGACTGGCCACCAGGCACTGGTTCAGGGGGCAACTGCTTCTTCATCATCTTTGCCAGTGTTCAGAGAGGAAATAAGAAAAGAATGAGACTTTCAGGATACCTCTTTCAGCACCTATCACAGGTGGAAGGAACTTGATGGAAAGCAGTCCTGATGAGAGAAGAATGGTCACGGAAACGAATGGACTTGCAGAAATGGCAAAACTTACCAGAAGAATAAGAAATCAAGACAATAAACTTTTTTTAGTAAGGAATGGAAATGGTTTATTGAATATTTACAGATATGTTGCAAACAAGACATTAGCAGGATTGTTGTAAAAACTTGCAGTTCCTAAAACATATATGAATTAGATGAGGAAAAAAGAATAGAGTTAATTGGGATATGCAGGGGGAAAGAAAGAAAATAAATTAATGGAACCGCAGAAAGCGGAGGAGGGAAGTCTGGGAAGTCGAAGATTGATATGTAAGAACTGTTTCATTTTCTTTGTTGCAATGTTTAATTGTTACAAATGAAAATAAATAAACTTTTTAAAAAAACAGGTGGAAGGAACGTGTGAAACACACACACAGAGAACAATGTTGCTGGACTACAACTCCCATCACCCTTGGCTATTGGCCGTTCTGCCTGTGGTTGATGGGAGTTGGGAGTTCAACAGCACTATGCTGCCTACCCCTAATACAGTGGTGGAGAACCTTTCTGGCGGGCCAACTCTGACAGGTGGGCACAACAACCAAGTAGAGGATTGACAAAGCCTTGTTTTTCTGCTCCCTATCAGGTGGTGGGGAGGAAGAAAAAAAGCCTGCAATGTGTAAACATGGCTGCAAGCAGGAGGAAACCTCTTGCCTGCAAAAAAAAAAAGAACTGCTATAATTATTATTATTATTATTATTATTATTATTATTATTTAATTAATAATTAATAATTGTACCCCACCCATCTGGTTAGGTTGTCCCAGCCACTCTGGGTGACTTCCAAAAACATTAATAACAAAAAAATAATGCAAAAACACAATAAAACATTAAACATTAGAAACTTCCCTGTCCTGGGCTGCTTTCAGATATCTTGTAAAGGTTGTATAGTTACTTATCTTCTTTAAATCAGATGGGAGGGCATTCCACAGGGTGGGTGCCACTACCAAGAAGGCCCCGCTACATGGTCCTTTGCTTTGGCTGGGTATGTCTGTTCTCAGTAGGATTTAACTCCCCCCACCTTGCCGTACTGGTCAGCTGATGAGTGGGTGAAGGAACAGCGAAATCCTGCTGCTTTGGGTATAAGAACAGGTATGTGCAACCAAGGCAGAAATGAATCCCACCCTCCTGCCCATCAGATGATGTCACAAGTGATAAAAAGTTAGTGTGGTTTGAGGGAAATGGCTTCATGGGCCAAAATAGGCCAGTTGGAAGGCTAGGATTGGTCCTGTCTCTGCCCCAAGGTGCAACCCACCCACCCACCACAAAAATTGCAAATCCTGGCTGCTCATACCTTGTTCTCCTCTGGAGTTGGTGGTAGAGGCTTGTCAGGCTTGAGAAGACAACGGCCGCTTCTGAAACCTTCAATTAGAGGAAAGCAGGGCATTTAAAGTGCATCTCCAGTAGGAATAGAGAGAGAAATTCTTCGTCACGCAGCCAAAACCACATCTTTTACAGTTAAAATGCATATAAAATGTGTATTTTATGTGAAACTGCCTTGGTTGCGCTGGTCAGTGATCTCTGGCAGCTAGACTGGTGACTGGGAGTGGCTGCCGAGACCACATAACACCGGTCCTGAAAGACCTACATTGGCTCCCAGTATGTTTCCGAGCACAATTCAAAGTGTTGGTGCTGACCTTTAAAGCCCTAAATGGCATCGGTCCAGTATATCTGAAGGAGCGTCTCCACTCCCATCGTTCAGCCCAGACACTGAGGTCCAGCGCCGAAGGCCTTCTGGTGGTTCCCTCACTGCGAGAAGTGAAGTTACAGGGAACCAGGCAGAGGGCCTTCTCAGTAGTGGCGCCCGCCCTGTGGGACGCACTCCCATCAGATGTCGAGGAAATAAACAACTATCTGACTTTTAGAAGACATCTGAAGGAAAGTTCAGGGAAGTTTTTAATGTCTGATGTTTTATTGCTATTATTATTATTATTATTATTATTATTATTATTATTATTATCATTCATTCTGATGAAAGCCACCCAGAGTGGCTAGGGAAACCCGTCAGATGGGCAGAGTATAAATTATAAATTGATGATGATGATGATGATGATGATGATGAAAGTGCACTGAAAAAGCCCTGAAAAATAGCATTTGTGGGAGGGGGGATGCAGACAATAATGCTTATAAAAACAGTACAATTTAAATAATAATTTTTCATGCACTGTTTCCAAAAATCAGCATGAAATAGGATGGAATGGAACTATAAAAGAGTGCCGGCGAAAATAAGACAGGACAGACTGAGGATGTTCTGTCTGTCCCAAAGATGGGGGATCTTTTCAGTCTGGCAGGGCAGATATTTATCTCCCCACCCCATGAACCAACTCAATCATCTGATGCTTGGAGACTGGTAGGTGGGCAGTCCAATCAGCTGATTGACATGTGGGGTGGTTTAGGAGAAAAGGCTTCACAGTCTAAATTGCACCCCCTGAAGGGCTGAGACTGAACTGCAGGCTGGAGGTCCTCAACCCCTGGCAAATCCCTATTCACAAGTGAAGACTGCCTTCCGCAGACTCGCACACGGCACGCTTCGAAAGTAGTGAACTACTATAGCAGGGCAGGGGAGAGCACTCCAGTTGAAAGGGTTATAAGGCCTTGCTTTGTTAGGGAGGTTGCTCTTTAGAGCAAGTGAGAAAAGTCCTCTACTGACAAGCTGCCACCAGCCTGAGCTGAACAGCCTTCCTGGTCTCCAAATGTTCTGAATCAACCAACTGGGGCTTATGGAAGTTGTGGCCCAAAACATCTGGAAGGAGAAGTCTGAAATAGGTTTAGAGGCTAATCAGGCAAAGTGGACAAGGAAGGAAGCTTTCTATGCTCATATCACATACCAGAGGTGATTCAGAGGTAACACACCTCTGATTACTAGAGACCATGTTGTTACTATCATTGTTGTTCATCATCACCGTCGTCGTCAATGACGTCATGCCACAAGCAAGGCATGATGGGCGGCAACAACTTCCTGCTAGCTCAGCGGTGAAGCATCTGCCTGCAGAAGAACTCAAGTTCAACCCTCAGGCTGGTGGCTGCTTTAAGATTTAGACCTCAGGAGAGCCTTGGTGAATCAGGCCAAAGGTCCACCTAGTCCAGCACTCCACTCTCACAGCAGCCCATCAAGTAGGGCTGGGAAAGACTACTACCGAAACCCTGTCAGCTGCTGTCAGTCAGTGTGGACTGCACTGAGGTAGATGGAGCAATAGGCAACTTCCTATGCTACCGTCTACTCCACTCAGGATCTGTTGGAGGCTAGGTGGATCTTTGGTCAAATGACCCAGAACTCTTCTGTTATTAATCTGATTATCTGTTTTCAGGAATGCTTTAGACCTCCACCAGATGATTAGGAGCAGCTGCATTTCAAGCCAGCTTTCTGGTTCTATGCCCTGAAACTAGGCCAAATATGCCGAACTAGACATGACAAAGCAGGCATATGTATCTTAAATATGTGTCTGCCCCAGTCACAAATAAAGCAGAGGTGAGATGGAGGTTTCTATTATTTCAATCAGGACTGGAGAACCTGTGCCTGCCCCCCCCCAAAAAAACAAGGTTGTGGACTCCAGCTCCCATCAGCCCCAGCCAGAATGGTTAGTGGTCAGGAATGAGGGGGGTTGTAGTACAAATATCTGGAGTGCAACAGGTTCCTCCTCCTGGCTTTAAGCAAAGATGAAGTGTACTAACATATACAAACCACAAGGAAAGATAAGTTTAAAAAAGAGCCAAAGTGAATTCTTACTTCTACTCTTGCCTCCCAGAATCTGGCAGCCCATGGCCATTTTAGCTGTCTGGGAGCAGCAGAGGTATTGTCCGTCAGTCCAGAAGCAGGGATGATATTTCTGCACCAGGTTGGCGTTGTAGCAGATCACTGCAGCAGGAAGGAAGGGTTACTATAGTTTCTGATCTTGTTTGAGTGATGGTAAACAGTTTCAGAAAACAAAACAAAAAACCTGGATATTGAAACTCGGTTTGAAGTTGGTTCAATATCTTGGCTTTCTCCAGAGCTGCTAGCCATAGTTTCCCAATTCGGATGAAACAGGAAACAACTGTCAACGAGAACTTCCTGGCTTGTTTGACAGCTTAGGTGAAGGAGGAAGTGAAGGGCTTCATGTGTGGGCAAAAAAAGGGGGTACATTCACATCACGCTTTAGTAAACCGATATATGATGATTCAAATGTGGCCAATCAGGTTAAAAAGAAGCAAGCAATGTTAATCTCCTCAAATGGTCCATTTGCTTAATCTTGGCCAGAAGAGAAAGAGTCTTATGGCACATTAAAAACATGCACCCATCCCTGGCTCGGCCTGATACTCATCGCCAATCCCCACCACTCACCTCTCTGCCCCTTTGTAAGATTATTTGGGGGGGCATCAGGATAGTGCTGGGCGAGTCCTAGAGGGAATTTTTGTCAGGGCACCCTCAATCTTTGTGCCAACCCTGGACAAGGCTTTACCACCTACCTAACCTATAAAGGGGACGCGGGTGGCGCTGTGGGTTAAACCACAGAGCCTAGGATTTGCCGATCAGAAGGTCGGCAGTTCGAATCCTCGTGATGGGGTGAGCTCCCGTTGCTTGGTCTCTGCTCCTGCCAACCTAGCAGTTCAAAAGCACGTCAAGGTGCAAGTAGATAAATAGGTACTGCTCAAGCAGGAAGGTAAACGGCATTTCCGTGCGCTACTCTGGTTTGCCAGAAGCGGCTTAGTCATGCTGGCCATGTGACCCGGAAGCTGTACGCCAGCTCCCTTGGCCAATAAAGCGAGGTGAGCGCCGCAACCTCAGAGTCGGCCACGACTGGACCTAATGGTCAGGGGTTCTCGGTAGTGGTGCCCACTCTGTGGAACACCCTCCCATCAGATGTCAAAGAAACAAACAACTATTAGACTTTTAGAAGACATCCAAAGGCAGCCTCGTTTAGGGAAGCTTTTAATACTGGATGAATCATTGTATTTTAATATTCTGCTGGAAACCGCCCAGAGTGGCTGAGGAAACCCAGCCAGATGGGCGGGGTATAAATAATAAATTATTATTATTATTATTATTATTATTATTATTATTATTATTATTATTAGTTGTGG